GTGTCTCACCCATGATGGGTGTATCCATGGATTGCATGTGTCACTAGGGTGGATGTGTTCTTGGATTGCATGTCTCATCCAGGTAGGCGTACCCTTGGGTTTGAATATGGTTTATGGGGCGTCAAGAGGAATCTGGAGTCAGGATCAGCTCTGTGGAATTGTCGTAGGCAACTTTGGTGATCTATGGGACATTTCCGACTGTTCCACCCCAAGGAGTGCCTCTATTTAAAAGCCCAGCCTATAAAAGCTGCTTATGGAATCCCGGGCCTGGGCCCACAGCAGCTAGGGAAGCTCCAGCCGTGGACCATAGCAGGGGGGAGGAAACGCATCCTGAGCCAGTAGCTATGGGAATAGAGGAGGAAGCTAGTGAGCCTGTAGCTGTCACAGGAGCCTGTTCCCGACAGCCCCTACCTCAGTGCCCTGCTCATGAACCAAGAGGAGGAGCCAAGGTGGGCCTACACCTGGACAGTTTCTAGAGCAACCAACAGAACTGTGTTTGCTTTCCGGCATCACTGAGCATAGGTTTGGGGTTTGGTCCCCCCCTCCCCAACTTCCTTCCCTACCTTCTATCTACTGAAAAAGGTCAAATATCCCAGGGCATCCATGTATTCCCATATAGGAATGTCCCTGCTCTTAGGCAAGCACCAGCATACAGGGGGCTTGTGAGGCCCTGGTGGACCAGGCCTCTGGAGGAGAGGTAGCAGGTGCTCCTCAGGAAACTGTCCCTAGTCCTCCACCAGCTGAGAGCAGCAAGCATAAGGATGTACTTGGAGAATTTCAAATCTGCCTGTGACCTCACGCAATGGTTTTGTATTTAGCAAAGCAGCTGTCCAGGAAAGCGTACCCCTGGCGTACCCGCCCAAGGCAACTGACCTCAAGAACCACCTGGACAGTTGGCACATCGAGGACAGGCCTGGGCTTTGCACTGTGCACAGGGAATGAACCTTGAGCCTGAGTGCCACATGGTGGACCTTGGCTGCTTTGTACGTCAGTTCATTTCACAGCTTGGTCACATCCAGCCATCCCTGGTGACTTCGCAGGGACCCTATGCACGACCATCATCCTCCAGCTCCTGTCTGTGTGTTGCTGTTCCTGGCAGTGTGTCTGAAGAGGAGGAAGCATGCCACCAGAGCACTGGCTAGTTCTTTCAGCCATCAAAGCTAGCGCAAGCTCCACTGAGTGTAGGATTTGTCTCATGAATGCATGCACAGTCACGGGAAGGGCTTGGATCTGTGTCAGTGTTCAGCTCCTCTGTCTACTGGTGTTTGGTTGGGCAGGTTCCAGGAAACAAGATGATTGCCATCACTTCCTCTACTGTGAGGCTCTGTCTCCCCACAAGTCATGTGACCGATGTAAGAGCCGTGGGAGTCGTGAATGGTGGAGCTTACAAGGACCTGAAGCTGTATTGAATTACAAACTAATCTTCTAAATCCTGATATCAGGAATAGCTGGCACTTAACAGTCTTCATTCATGTGGCTCCTTTGTCAGCCCATGCCTAGACTTCTCAGGGCGGGACTGGTAGCTATCTGGGTTTTCAGCACTACTGCCCTCAAGGACAGAATATGTTAGGCTAAAATGGACCACAGTGAGAACTGTGTCCCAAGGGGAGACTCTGTGACAGGTTCTACAAGCTCAAGTGTGTGGACCCCATTTAGGTCCAAGGCCCAGTGCCAAGAATTAATTCAGAAGGGATGAGGGACTAGCCAGGCATCCTGGCATGGAACGTGTGTGAGGTACCCAACATCCCCAACTTGGAGGACAACAAGGAAGGACAAATGTCATCTCAGAAGCAAGGTCATCTGTTGGTGTCTAATAAATACTCAAAGATACTTTGAACAGCGTTCATCTGTGACGTTGCAGCTCTAGGGTCAGGTGTGTTTGCCTCGCTTTGCTGGGACCTATGCTCAGGTCTAACAGGCCGTCAACAGCAGTTAGCCAGGCTAGGTCCTTCTGTGCTTCTGAGCTCATTTGTGGTTCCAGAACCTTAACTTTCTTGGAGGTCATAGGATGGTGGCCCCTCTTCCTACTGGCTGTCACCTGAGGGCTATTCACAGCTCTTGGGATCCCCTCACAGGCCTCTCTTGTATGGCATCCAGCTTTCTGAAGACCAGCAAAAGATTTCCCTAAACCCTCTTAGAGGCCTCATTGAAGACCACCAAGCATGTTCTTTTTGATCAACTTAAGGTCAGCTGATGAAAGCCCTTCATCTGCCGTCTAATGTTATGTAGTGACAGGAATGACAGTATCATGTTTACAGCTCCCCACATACATGCTCAAGGGGAGGAGACTACAGGTGCCAACATACAGGGCATTCATCCAGGCAGGGGCAGCAGAGTTCTGGGGACCCTCCTAGAATGGTAGGCCTTTCTAGAATTCTGTCAACTATAGTCCTCTCTCCTTCTGCCCCATCTGATGAATCTTTCTTCTTGCTCTTTCCACAAACCCTTCCCTGTTCCTCCTTGTCCAAGCCTATGGACTAATATAGTTGTCAAAACTCTTGCCTAGTCTCTGCTTTCTTAGAAAGGAACCCATAGGCCCAGGGCCGTGTGCCTCCTCACCCAAGGGTAGGTCCTGAATGTAAAGAGCCTTTTTGACCCTTCCCCTCCAGCCCTAGGTTATCCTTACAGACTAGTACCCATTAGGACATGTGATTGTTCTGATTACAACCATGATGGGGCAACACTTCACCTCTGTGCCCCACCTCCAGCTCCAGCCCCAGCCCCAACCCCAGCTTGTTGTATTGGGTGCCCTTTTATTTGAAAGATGTGGTCTTGGACTACTAAAGGACCACACAAGCAAAATCTGTTACGGAATTGAGTCCTGGGAGTCCTTGGAAGCTGAAAGGAAACCCCTTGTGATTCAGCTTAGTAGTCAACTTACATTAGAATTGGAAGAAAGCAGGGGCAGGCATGGTGATGAGCTCCTGAAATCCTAGCATGGCAGAAGGTAGGAGGACTGAGGCAGGAGGATGGTGAATTTGAGGCTGGCCTTGGCTATGTAGCAAAAGTGAAAAAATAAAAGGGAGAACAGACTTTCTTTTGGGCCACCAACCAGCTTCCAAATAAAGACACAGAGATTTAATATTAGTTATGAATGTTGGCCTTAGCCTAGACTCTTTTCTTGCTAGCTCTTATAACTTTATTTAACCCGTTTCTCTTCATCTACATTTTGCCTCAGGACTTTTTACCTTTCTTTCACTCTGTACGTCCTACTTTCCTGCTTCCTCCATGTCTGGCTGGTCCCAGGAGTCTCCCTCTTTCTCCTTCATTCTCTTTTCTACCATAGATTCCTCCTCCTATTTATTCTCTCTGCCTGCCAGCCCTGCCTATCCCATTACTGCCTAGCTATTGACTGTTTGGCTTTTTATTAGACCGATCAGGTGCCTTAGGCAGGCGAGGTAAAACAGCAACACATCTTTATACAATTAAACAAATACAGCATAAACAAATGTAACACGTCTTCACATAGTTAAATATTCCACAACATGAACCAATGTAATAATGTAATACATCTTTACCTAATTAAAGTAATAGTCCACAACTGAGGAAGGGTCAGTTTGTCTTCTGTCGTATGTGTGTGTGTGTGTGTGTGTGTGTGTGTGTGTGTGTGTGTGTGTGAATACCAGGGAGGTGGTATTCAGGTCAGCCACCAGGACCTATCTCCTATATCTCCTAGTGGGAGTACGCAGCTCGGAAAGCCAAATGTGCTTGGGCTCTTGCTCCTGGCTGGCCCCAACAGCTCTCTGGGTCCTGAAAGTGCTGTATTAAAATGAGCCAGGGAACAGTGAGATATTACAAAATCCAGAACTGTGGGTGGAAGAATTATTGACTGTTCAAGGGAACTTACCTGCCAAGAAGGCGGGGCTTGTCACAAGAGAGCCTGCATTTTGGAACATTCTGCCTTTTACCTCCCTGGCTTCTGGGTTGCATGAGATAAGAGTATTCACATGGTCTGTAGTCATGCAGCCGGGTCAAAATGCCATCTGTAACCCCTTGGTTGGCATAATCAGCTGTGTTCTGATGGCTGATCTGCCGGGGGCTTAAAGATTGTCAGAGGAAGAGCTTTTAATGCAAAGACTGACTCTACTATCCAGAGCCCTCCACGGTGCCCTTGGTCGCCTTGGGAGAACCTGAGCTCCCCTCGCCGCAGAGGGGAGGGGATTCGTAGGGTATGAGGGGAGGCCAAGAGGGACTGGGCAGGAGTCTCAGAGTGGATCTCTCAGTGAGGGCACCAAACTGGGACTTTGCAGGGCTGCCTGGCTCTGCCACGAGGCCTAAAATAGTGTCCACCTGGCATTTAGTGAGGATTCAGCGATCACCCTCCTGTCCTTGGTGATGCCAAACTCTGTTGGACTGTGTTTCTCCTGCATGCATACCTACGACATAACTATTTCTAAACTGGGCACAGTAAGACATTAACAATTCTGTAGACCTTGGCGATCTTAGCATAGGATTTTTCTTTCCTCTCTGAGTCAGGAACTTTCACCCCTTTACTCAAAGGAAGTCTTTCTAGGCTCTTCTTGGTCATGTGTAAGCTGTCAGAATCACCACTCCTGTGCTTTGGGGGCTTTGCTAAGTGAAATGGGGGTGACCCCAACACAAGAGCCGGCTGTTGCCAGAGTGGGTGTGGTGGTGACCAACAGACGTGCAAACTCCGGACAAAGGGACTCAAAGTTTGAGCAAGACAGAACGAAACGGTGCATACATTTAATCAGCTCTGCACATTTTTAAAAACATAGGAATTATTTGTTTCTGAAAATTTCCGTGTGAAGTTTTTGGACTTCGGTGAACCCGCAGCTAACTGATAACGGAGGAGGAGCTCCTGGGCTCAGAGCGACCATTCATCCCGCTCCAGAAAACCCTACCTCTCGAGAGCATCTGTGAATTGCCACTGTGTGCTTGTTAAGCCCTAAACAAGATTTTCTCTGCACAGTGTCATTAGCTATGTACCCGGAAGGTGCCTGGTCTGTTCTCTAATAAGGTTTCTGGGTCTATTTCAGGCGGAGGCCAGGCTTGCAGCGAAGCGTGCTGCCCGCGCTGAAGCTCGAGAGATCCGCATGAAGGAGCTGGAGCGGCAGCAGAAGGAGGTAACGGAGGCTGGGAGGGGGGGCTTGCGGTTGGCTCTTTCTCTGAGGTGTGCTAGGACCATGAAGTCAGAGCACCTGCTCCCTTCACTGTGCCCTTTGTATCACTCCTGCTTGGAATGTGTGTGTGTGCCCCTGTGGTTTGTTCCGGGTTGGCCCGGAGTGTGCATAGCGTGGATGCCAGACATGCTTGCCCAACCTGGGGGCCTGAGAGGAAGCCTGTGAGCTTGCCTTTCAGTAGTAGTGAGGTTCCAGGCCAGTTTTCTGACTTCGAAGGACTGGAGAGAACTGGACCTGGATCCTCTCAGTTAGAACCAGAAAAGAACAGAGTAATTTTTTTTTAAATTTAATTGACCAGAGTCTTTCACTTAAAAAAAATTGTCCCCAAAGAACAGGTGAGTATTGTGGATAAGTAGCCATGGGAACAAATGCACTGTAGGGGACCAGGGTGGTCATAGGCGCCCACACCCCTTCATCTTATCTGTATTTTGTTGTTATTGTTTGTTTTGATTTTATCAAGACAGGGTTTCTCTGTAGCTTTGGAGCCTGTCCTGGAACTAGCTCTTGTAGACCTGACTGGCCTCAAACTCACAAAGATCCGCCTGCCTCTGCCTCCCGAGTGCTGGGATTAAAGGTGTGCGCCACCACCGCCCAGCTCCTATCTGCTGTTTTTAAAGCCAACAGCCAGCATATGGGCTCTTTAACTATGTTAGGGAGCTGGCTTTCCCCCAGCCTTGCCCACTCAGGGAATGAACCCATCGGGGAGCATCTGCTCCAGCCCCCCACTACAAGGTTTGCCCATTAGGATGGCTGGAATGCATGAGTAGTCAGGGCTGCTGGAGTGGTCCCTTCTTCTGCAGGCTCTGGTTCTGCTCACGGAGCCCAGCCGAGGTTCACCACTGTGCGGCTTCGGATGGAAATTCACCTTTCCCAGAGTCCTCCACCTTCCCAAGCGGGCCCACGCCTGTCATGTACTCTCTAGGGACAGCTGGACCACCAGACTGTGATGTTAACTGTCCCTCCCTGCCCGGGAACTTTGCCACCCTAGAAAGAAATATGCCAGCAGAAGAGGGCTGTGGCCAGACTTGATTTGGGGAAGGAAACTTCCAGACGGTGTGTGGGTGGCCACGCAGTGCCGGGAACCCCAGCCTAATGGCTCAGCAAAAGGCATAATAGTGGGAAGGCAGGTGGGACAGGGCAGTCACCACCATGAGGGGACCTCACCCTCTTCTGTGGCGATCAGGAAGTAACCTTGACAAGCTTCTCCTGTATGCTAAGCTATAAGCAGAGAATTTAACCAGTATTGGAAGGTGGCTCACTGTCTTCCCTTCTATTTAGAAGTTGGTACGTGTGTGTGTGTGTGTGTGTGTATGTTTAATAATTTTTTTCTTAGTTCTCTGAAGAAGCAGGGGTTGGTATTCATCCAGCATATATCTGTCTCTTTTATAAACAGGTTTGTCTTTTTAAAATAAAAAAAATAGGCGGTCCTGGGTTTTTTGTGTTAATTATTCTTTCCTTCCTTCCTTCCTTCCTCTTCCTCCTCCTCCTCTTCCTCCTCCTTCTTCTTCATTTCTCTCTCTCTCTCTCTCTCTCTCTCTCCCCTACTTTGGGTGGTAGTGAGGATCGAACCCGGGACCTCCTGTATGCTAGGCACTCACTCACTCACTCCACCCCTGAGTCCCTCCCAGCTCCAGCAGTTCACAGAGATCCCCAGGGAGTTTGGCTGCCGCTTGTTCCAAGGGGTTCATTGCACTTTCTGTCCCACTGATCTTCTAGTGCATGACGTGCCTCACGGCTGTTGGTTTCAACTCTTACCAGAGACAAACCAAGGACTCAGGGCCGTGGGATGCAGTGAGGCTGTGAGCTGACTCCACATTGTGCTCGTACCTGTTAGTGAGCTCGGTGTCGTGAGTGACTTTCACCTAGATGTAAAATTCCTACAGAGATCAAGGCGAAAGTGAGTTAGAGTATGTGTACACGCGTCTGTTCTTACTGATGGGTAGTGTTGATTGGTGCCTATGCACGGTTACATAAAAATCTTCTACAAAGTCTTGGGTGAGAAGCCCTGGGCAGAGTTCACTGTGAGTATGGCAGCATCCACAGTGACGAGGAAATTGGCTGAGTCCTTACGACTTTATTTTTTTGAGCAGAAAGATATTTGGCCTTGAACATCAACTATCTCCTCATTGATGCCTTTGTGGCAGAATTTGTCAGCCAGAGCTGACGTTTGTGGTCAGGAAGAGAAGCAATGTGCGTATGCACAAGTGTCAGCGGACAAGTCTACGGAGAAGGATGAGAGCAGCTAACAGCCCAGGCTTGCAGCCTGCCGCCACAGCCGCTTCGCAGACTGCCCCCTCCGCCTGTCTTTTCAGTCCTGGCTATTATTAGAAGCAGCGAGCCCAACTTGAGCTCATACCATCTGATAGCCCAGGGCACTGGCATTTTAAGTTGTTGATTAAGGAGAAATGAATCTGCTTTGGACGGCTAGTGGTTAGCCAGTAGGGCTGGTATTTTGTTATAAAACTGGGAAACGCGATCCTTGCTTTCTTCTGTACATGCTGCTGCTGATCAGGAGTGATTTTCCCACAGGAAGGAGTCAGACCTGAGGCAGCCTGGATGAGCTGAGGAGGCCTCAAGCTGGTGCCCAGGGTCGGGGTCCCCCAGGAGAGTTTGCAGAGTGTGCAAAGAGCCAATGTGAGAAAGACAGCAGTGTTGGGGTACAAGTCTGCCCCCAAGTCAGAACAGTGAGCTATATCCAGACCCAGGGCGCTCTAGGTCTCCCTGGTAACAACTCCTGTCTGGTGCAGATGGCAAGAGCCAACAGTAGCATCCTTGAACTGTGCTTTGGGGCTGACTGAGTGGATCTGGACTCCTTTTTAATAGGCTTACTGGATGAGACTAATATATCGGCATTCTTTGGCAAATCACAGGGATCCTTGAACATCACAGGGGAGTTTGCACTGACAGGAAATAATGTCTCTCTTAATGTCCCTGACTGGGTAACCATTTTGGTTTGAGATGCTGTGTTAATTATAGTTGAATGTTACCTGCACTTTCTTGTCTGAAAACAGGTGCCAAATTTCTAGGCCCGCGTCCTTAACAAGGCCCAATGCAACCCGTGGCTTGTCCAATGACCGCAAGCATCTACTTCTTAGCGGTGACTGTGAAATTGAGAGAAGGTCCTGATGAAAACCTCTCTGTTGGAAGAGGAAGCCCCTCTTGTATGTCAGCACATTCCCATGGCTGCAGCATTTTGCCGGAATGCTCTTGCTATTTCCTATAAATCTGCACGAACCAGGATGATAAAGCCTCTATTAATCATTTCTGAATCTGACTGTTCAATTTCCTACTTAAAATTGAACAGTTTTCTGGTTAAACCTTTATTAGTAAGAAAAGCAGTTTTCCTTTTAAAGGTAATTTAATGTTTGCTCTTTGACAGTTTTGTGTGTGTATGTGTGTGTGTGATGCACTTTGATTGGAATCCCCCGCCATTTCCCTCTCATGCCCCTCCATACTCCAAGACTCCCTCTGTGTCTTCTTCCCTGCTGGTCCCCATCTCTGCCTTTAATTCCTATTTCCCGGTGTGGCAATAGGCCATACACACTCTGCCTTAGGTACCAGTGGGCTCTGCAGACACTGGTGTGGAGCGACCCCCAGCCGTCATCTAGAACAGCACAGAAGGAGTGAAGAAGTGTGACTTAATTCGCTTTTTCTTCATATTTAATCAGCAATCTTTGTTTTTCCTGCAGTATAGCATTCGTTCATATTTCTAGTTGTTGCTGAACCTCTCTGAACCGCTCCTGCAATTTTAACTGCCTTTTCTATTTCTTCCCCTTTCCCCTTTGCCCTTCGCTATAGATCTACCAAGTCCAGAAGGTAGGCTCTGTCCATCTCTAATACGCATGTGCTGCTCTCCCTTTGCCGAGGCCTTGACACCTGCAGAGCAATGCCCTGTGCTGCCCACCCCGCTTGCTGTGTCCACCGCCACCTCTGTCTGCTTGCCTGATTAACAAATCTCTTTCACACGAGGTGGCAGCCATGCATCGGACACATCCCTTGATCCTTTGGCCTCAAGGCACTGGAGAGTTGTCTCCGAGGCAGGAAAAAATTCTAACACAAACCACATTTTAGAATTGGAGGAAGCTTTTAAAATTGTATATTAAAAGATAAAGGGGTTTTTTTCCAGATGACTTTATTAGATAACCTTAAACATACCAGTATCAACTGCCACATAGTGAGACATTGCTGTGCTCTGATCCTACCACTCAGGAGGCAGAGGCAGGAGGATCACCCATAATTTAGGCTATACTGGGATTATGTGGTCGTTTGGAAGCCACTCTGGTCTACATAAACAGTGATGAGACCCTGTCTCAAAAACATGAGGGAGAGAACATAGGTAAGTAGGTAGGTAGATCGGTACACAGACAGACAGACAGACAGACAGACAGACAGATAGATGATAGACAGACAGACAGAGAGACAGAGGAATGGTTATTAGGCTAGGTGTGGTGGCCCCAGCACTTGGGAGGCTGAGACAGAGGATCACAAGTTACAAGTTTCAGGACAGAAAAGAATAAAAATCTAGAGGTAAGAAGAGGTGGTCCTAGCATTCGATATGGAATGGATACTGAAGCCAGTGTGTCCCCTGTCCCCTAGAATCCCAGGAGGTTCTGACAGGTTCTGGTAAGGCTGGGGAGCCCTGATGGGCAGTGAGGCTGCAGGAAAGGGACTGGATCTGGTCATTTCCCCTCACTTCCTACCCTTTCCTGTTTAGGTCATGGTTGGGTTTTTGCCGACAGGCCTGAGATGCTGTGTGAGAACTGTCAGATGGGAGCTCAGGTGCAGGGCACAGCTGGAGGAGCTCCGGAAACCCACACAGTTTGTATAAGTCCGAGGGAAGGGAAGGCTTTCCTTAACGCTCCAAACTGTGATGAGAACAGGAGACGGGGAGCGTTCTCTCCTGGTCCTGTGGCCATTCAGCCAATTAGCTTCTCAGTGCTCAGGGCTGTTTCTCAAAGCCAAGCCCCTTGTGCCTCAGTCTGGCTCCCTCCCGTCTTGTTAACTAAAAATCAGACAGAAACAAAGGCGCCGTACGTTGCACACGAATTAGGATCTGGATGTCATAGGTAAGGGTGGAGCTAGCATTAGCTGAGTACAGAAGAGGGTTTAACACAAGGCACTCACTGGAAATGAAATTAAAATGTGACTTGGACAATTTAACAAGTGTTGTTTTTATATCCTTTACAAATGTGTATTCTAAAGAAATTGGTATTGATAAAAAATAACAACAAAACAACAACAACAACAACAAAAACAGCTCTTGCTCCAAGGGGAATAAGAGAGAGTTTATTCTGAGCCAGAAATGAATGACCATGGCCAGGGATTCAGGTTGCCCCCAATACTTAAACTTCTTATAGTTACAAAACAAAAGAAAGTCATAAATCAAGGCATTTCCCATATACATGGGTGGGGACATTGTGTAGGCAGGCTAGAGCAGAGAAAGGAAATCTCACTGTGGGTTTTAGGTACTAGCCGATAACATTCTTAGGTTTTGGTTTGGTGGAAGCTAGTTCTACCAAGTTAATACATTTCAAAGACTTCGACTGACAATGGATGTGGAACCAGATAGAGGTGGATGATCAGTGGCTTCCATGCAACTACAGACAGCAAAGATAATTTTGGCTTTTGATCTCCACAATCACAACCCTCTCATGGATCAGCACCCTGCAGAACCTTCTGCACCAACCTTCCTAATGCTGGTTCTCAACCTTCCTAATGCTGTGACTCTTTAACACAACTCATGCTGCAGTGACCTTCGCACATAATATTATTGTGTTGCTACTTCATAACTGTCATTTTGCTACTGTTATGAATCATAATAAATATCTGATATACTGGATATCTGATATGCAACCCCCAGGCTGAGAACCTCTGTTGTACACAGATGTGGCTTTTGCATGTAACTTAGCAAGAAAAGACTGTTTGTGTGGCTTTTTTTTTGCACTAGCTTGACACTCTTGGCTTTTTAAGACTGTGTGAGTTCTCCCTCCTAATTTCTTCTCTTTTGGTTTTCTACTTAACCAACATCTCTCTGAGGAAGGGCAGGGCCATACCACATGTCTGAAATCCAGCCCTCCTTCAAGGTGAAGCTAGACCAAACATAATGATCACAGCATGTTTGTGTGACTAGAAAGTCATTTTAAAATGGCCTTGTATTCCTCACACCCAGTTATATATTTCTGATTGTAAGCTTAAAGTGTGTAAAATGTGATACTCTGGAGGTTTGGTTTTCTGTTCCTTGATTTTCTTGCTGGAAATTGGGAAGGAAATAAGGAACAATGCCAAGCCAGTTGTTAAGCCCAGGTTCTCATCCAACCTGGGCCACTCTAGTGATAGAAACAACCGTTTCAACCTACTTTGTTCGGTCTGATTTGGACCACTGTGGCTTAGAGTGGGTGGGTAAAAGCTGGAGCTGGTAGCCACAGCCTCTTCCCACCCAAAGGCCTGCTCTGCAGGTCTCAGGCATCTGTCAGCAGATGTGGCTTCTCCGACCTGCATCTGGCTCAGGTGTCAGAGCGTAGCAGCATACAGCTGGAAGGCGGCTCAGCACAGCCCTGCTCCCTGCCTCCTCGGGGGACCCTTCCTGGGGCAGCAGCTTGGAATGGGTCTCAGCTTGTGCTCCTAGACAGCATTTGTTCCTTCTGCAAGCATGCCCTAAAGCTGTGAGCAGCTTTGCAGAGGGCCTGCCCAGCTTCTGCACAAGGTTTGCTTTCCCGATATCCTGGACGGCTATTCCATCTTAGGAGCATTTTGCTCTGGACTCGGTGGGCCAGCAAGGCAGGAGGCCTCTCAGGCTGCTGCATCTATGCTCAACCAATGGCTTCTCTGCAGACCTCAGTTGTGTGGCCACCGTACCTGGCATGCCGCCTCCAAAAGTCATTGCGGGTGGGAGAGCGTGGTGGAACCATTTCTTATGTCTTTACTGTTTACTTCTTGCCTAATTTTCTTTCCCTTTCTGTCTGTAGAAATATTATGGGCTGGATACGAAATGGGGCGACATCGAGCAGTGGATGGTAGGCCTTGAATATCATTTGAAGACTTAACTGGTTTATAATTGAATTCTGACTGCAGTTTAATTATGCCAGTAGATTCCACTTGCACTGTAATTTGATACTCAGAGGTCTTCCTCAGGGCATTTCTGCATCTGGTGTGGCGTTGTTAGGACAGGCCTGGCCAGGCGTGTGACCTGTCCCTCTATAGAAGGGGACTGCTGATGTCTGCAGGCTGGTGTTGTGTGAGGCACCATTGCCGCTGCTTCCCCAGTTCTCTGCATCAGAAGATCCTCAGGGACTCAAGCAAGGCATGTGCCCTTGTGCAAGAATTTTTCAGAGAACCTCCAGTTACCATCAGAACATTTCGCTGTTCTGATGAACCAGAAGAGGCCCTAGACTGTTTCCTTCCTTCATGGACAGCCAGCTAGCTGTCCTATCACCCCCATCTCCGAACTCGCACACTCAACTGGGGCTCTCTTGCTGTTTGTTGGCTCCTCTGGGCTCCTCTGTGACTGTGAAAACCCATACTATTGAGACTCCCCCCCAATCTGTTTTCTTTTAGAACCTGTCTGCCTTCCTAGGGCAGCCAAGGCCAGGGAGCCTGCCTGCCCTCAGGCCTCTCAGGAGAGGTGCCCAAGTGGCAAGACTCTGGTTGGTGCACCCTTTGGTGCTTTCCATTGATCCCAGAGCAAAGTTTTGGTCTTATTAAGCTACCGCCTCTTCAGATCCTGGCTGCCGGCCTGGATTTTGACGCAGGCTTTTGGCATTGAAGTCCTGGAAATGTTCTAGTCAAGGCTCCTCACCCTTAAACAGCCTGAGGGAGAGTCAAGGCCATCTCTACCATCTTAGATGCTATGTGTGATATAAAAACTCACCACCCCGCCTGTGTCAGCTGTATTGTACAGCTCCCTAAGGTGTGTCTTCTTATCAAATCTTAAGGACAGTTAAAAGATGGTCACTTCTAAAGAAAGAAAAGCTGCTAATCAATTTTGAGCAGCTCTGTGCCTCCCACTTCTATTTCAGAGACAAGCATGCAGAAACCTGTTTGTCCTGAAGTCTATAAAGCAAGCTGGGTGGCATCCACATTGGAGTTTTCTGGGGAAATCACTTCCCAAAGGGGAGTCAGTCCAGAGGGGAAGAGAGTTGATTTTAAATCAGATTATAGGGTTACAAAAAAAGCAAAGCTTCCTTTCTGCCCCAGCGCTTGCTCACTGCCCTCTGGCTGCTTCTAAAGCCACGAACTCTGCTGGTGTTTTTTGGTTCTTAGGGACCTCCCCCAAGGAGCTGTTTCCCACAGTTCTTCCCTTAGACCCTTTAAACAAAACCAGAGAAAATACTGATTTGCCATGTAGATCAGAAACTCAGGATTCTGAGGCTCTTCTGGGGTTTCTGAGGATTCTGCCTTGCTCTCTCTAACCTCTCTCTGCCATTCCCTTTGCTTCGGTAGGAAGACAGCGAGCGCTACTCTCGTAGATTCCGGAGAAACACATCGGTCAGTACCACGCTCCTTCACAGCAAGGGACAAGTTGACGGAGCCTTAATTGTTCCTTTGGTGGCTGAAATAGATACAATAGTTGCTATTATTGGTATAAAACTGCTATCTTTACCTGAATAAAGACCGTACTCTTTATTGGGGCTAAACTATATAAAGAAATTGTGTTTGGGATTTTTTAAAAAAAAACTAAGTATTGAATCCAGGGCCTCATGCAAGTTTAGGCACCCTACCTACCACTACTAAATTGTATTTCCATCCCTGTTTGGAAATGCTTAAATATTATTATTAATCTATTACTCCCCACAGTGTAAATGCTTATTGTTGCTGTTAAATACCCATAAATAATTTTTATAATCATTGAGGCTTATTAATAACCCTCCTTTTCTGTGACATACTGTGTTTCCATAAGCAGTTGTAGGCAAACTGAGGCATGCTGAGGGCCTGGGCTCACACCCTCTGAGCTCTCAGGGTGGCTGGTCCACCCACTGCTGCCGAGTCGGATCAGCAGGTTCTTCCCAGTCCGGCTCATGGCTGTGTTCTCATCCTGTCTTTTACTAGGCTTCTGACGAAGACGAGCGCTTGTCCGTGGGCAGTCGCGGCAGCCTAAGGGTCAGTAACGGTGTGATTGCTTCTGCATGGCACACCTTTGATTTCTTGTCCCTGCTTTCCGTCCTTAGATCATCACCCCCTCCTCTGCTGGTCCCCCACGTGACTGATGAAGTACTTGTATATATGTTAACTGAGGGCCGGGTGGGCCAGGCTGGGCCGGGCTGGGGAGAGGGTGGGTGTTACTTGTCATTTCCCAAAGAGTAGAAGGTGTCAGTTTTTCAATAGTTTTCCCACAACACGAAACTACAGGACTGTGGTTAATGATTGTCTCAGAATTGTTGGTGTGATGACCGGGACATGAAGGCACCCTGCATGCCCACTTTGCCACACTCTTTCCAGTAAAAGCGAGCCTTGGTTAAAACAGCCGGGAATTGGACTGGGGAAATAGTTCAGGTGGTCAATGAGGACCTGAGTTCCGTCCCCCAGAACTCACGGGAAGAAAGCCGTGTGCTTGTGATCCCAGTTCAAGGAACAGTTAGTGAAGCTGACTGGCCACCTCGCTTAGCTTTACTTAGCCAGTTCCAGGCCAGTGAGAAACCATGTCTCAAAAGAAAAAAAAAAGAAAAGATAGAAGGCTCGAAGGCATTTCTGGAGAGTGAAATGACACCTAAAGCTGTCCACCAGCTTCTACATGCATATACATGTGTGTGAAAACACACCCAATTGTAGCCAAGGGTTGTTGAAGATGTTTCTGCAACCGCTGGAGTCTCCCTGGAGAGGAGGCTGTGACCTCCGCCACCCCCAGTCTTGCAGTCAGCTATAGTGAGGGTTCTTCTTTGCAGTGCTGGGCTTGGCTGTAGAGCCTCACCCGTACTAGGCAAGTGCTCCACTACTGCACCAAAAGCTCCTCACGACAGCTCCACGGCTAATGAACGGAGCCTCTGTAGCTGCATTAGATGTCAATGCATGCTCTGGGAAACAAAGCAGAGCAGTTGGGTTGGAGCTTAGTAAGCGTGTCCGTTCAATTGGCTGCAGGGCGGCCATGGCGTCTCACTACTGTGATAGCTAGGTCTCCAAGCAGCTGCTCTGGTGTACTAAGGGCTGGCTTCTCATCATAGCGACAGTTAGGTCACACAGTATTACCTCTTGACTAAACATGCACCAGGGGTGTGTTTACCTTGGCATATAACAGTAAGGCCGCCACCCCTGTCCCTTTCCTCCTAGCTTAAGACCAGCCCCTGTGTGCTTTTGTTGGGCAGTTGCATGTGAAGTGAGTGCTAACTGGGAAGTTTCTGCTAGTGTCTTTAACGATGCAGCTGTGACTTCCTCACAGGCCCCTCAGACACGATCTGCTTTAGAGGAAGCAAGATTTACGTAAGCAGAATCTAAGTACAAGCTCAGTTTGCGGCATCTGGGGCCAGGCCCAGGCATTGCAGCTGTGGGAGGCGAAACCGAGGGGAGGAAGAACAGTTGGGCATCAGGGGAGGGACTGGAAGGGCAGAACAGAGAGTTGGCCCTTGGATGTAACCTCCTGGTGGTAACTTTGCAAGAGAGCTTTTTCCAGAAATGCCAAGAAGGAAGCCGATGAACAGGGATCAGAGATAGAACAGGCGGGAGACGGAAGCAGAGCCCAAATCTCTGGAACAATGTGTCATCTTCAGACCCGTGGTCCCTCGGGTTCCCCAGGGAGGAATTTCGCCATCTTAAGATTCTAGGGGTGGAGATGGGGGCTGTCCTGGCTCCAAAAAGTTTATCATAGTGTCAACACCACAGATGTTACAGCATTCGTTCACCTTTCATATGAGCCTCTAGTGAATTGGGTCCCCACGCTGGACATCCTTGTCAGATTCCAGTATATCTGTCCTAAGGTCTGAAGCTTCACACAGGAGGTCCACAGTTAGCGAGCTGAAGACGAGAATGGGAGAAAGTCAGTGACTTTCACTACACGACTCTCCCTTGGTAGACTTAAGAAACTTAGTGGGTATGGGCCAGTGCTACCAGGCCTGACAACCTGAGTTCAAACCCCAGAACCCACGTGGTGGAAAGTGACTTCTAACATGGTAGAACGCTGACTTCTGAAAGTGATCTTCTGAGTTTCACTTACACTGTGCCATGTGTCACCACCCCAAACATTACTTTGGTTTTTTTGGGGGGGGGATTCAAAGAACTAGACTAAAAACAAAAATCCAGATCTGAGAGCTGGGTCCCTAAAAAGAAGAGTCAAACCTACTATTCTTGTTGGTGTGGGACAAGCCCAGAGCATTTAGAGACCCACTTGAGGTCACGGTGAAAATGCCACTTCTGATTCCCCCAGAGACTTTCACATCCGCCAGGTGCCCAAAACTCTGTCCCCTACTGGTTGGAACAGCTGAGAACCTCAGGGCATCTGTCAACCCTGCCGAGTGCAATCATCTCTCACTCTGTGTCCATGGACCAGATTATGCTGTTTAATATATTGATAATAGGAAGCCTTTACTGTGCAGATTCCTAAGATGGTTTCTGTCTTGACTCCCCGGACATGCCTTCTCCATTGAGATGACAAGGATGAGAAGCCCTAAAGGCCAGCAGGGGTAGTTACCTTCCTGGGATCAGCAAACATGGTCCCCGGGGGAAACCAAGATTGGGAGTTATCGTGAGGTTTTAATTATCTTTATTTAAAACCTGGCAGTGGTGCATCTCTAGACCTTTCCCTAATTTAATTAGATCATATCTATGTCAAGAAGAAAGCATGATGCAAATCGCTTTGTGTTTCATGAACTAAGCAACTGTTGCATAGGAGCAATTTAGTGTTCTTAGATTTTTACGATGGCTATCGTTCTGATGTATGTGTTTTCTTTTAAGGAAGACATTCGAAGTCATGGGAAATGTGTTTCTATTAAGATTTTAAAGGTTGCCTGGTTGTGCCTCTATGATTGCTTAGCTCTCTCTTACCTCTGCTACTCCCATTTCTATTTTCCCCTTCCACCCTTATGCCAACAGACCCAGCCTGAGCCGGAGTATGGGAGTCCTTACGCCTGGGTGAGGTGGTCAGATAACTTTGCTGTGTGACTCTAACTGTGTGCAGTGACAGATGAGAGCCGTGCTGTTTCTACTAACTTCCTGGGTGCTTTTCCAAAGTCCCAACTGCCAGTCTTCACCCAGGACACTATGAGGCCATCCCCCTCTCCCTGCCTCCTGGCCTGTGGAGGGGACCCTAAAGCATGGACTGCTGTACCTGGGCCCCACTGCGTGTCGGTTGTTGGCCACCCACCATGGGTTCCTCAAAGAACCCACCAGACCGAGAACTCCCGGGGCCTCTCTGTGCCCTTTTAAAAGACTAAGCATGAAGAAATGATTTTGCTTAAAAACCCCGTTCTTTCCTAATCTGTAACCATTCCAATTGAGAGGACTAGCTGGTGGCAGCCAGGCAGTGGTGGTGCATATCTTTAATCCCAGCACTCAGTAGGCAGAGACAGGTGGGTCTCTGTGAATTCAAGGCCAGCCTAGGCTACAGAGTGAGTTCCAGGACAGGCTGCAAAGTTACACAGAGAAACCCTGTCTCAAAATAATAATAATAATAATAATAATAATAATAATAGTAATAATAATAATAATAAAAGCCGGCTCTTTTGCTGTGAAAATAACCTTTGAGAAAGACTTCAGTTCAGCAACAAAAATAAAGTCCTTGAAATGAGCCTCTTATCTGAGAGTCCTAACGCCTTCCGTCCCTTGGAAATGTGTACAGTTTGCACCCAAAAGAATTCTCCAGTGAGTTTTGCAAACCTGTGACCTCTTCTCCAGGACTTCACAGGTGTGATTTTTTTTTAATCTCAGAGCCCCTGGGCTTCACGAATTCTCCATCTCAAAATTATTTGGAAAATTTACTTTTATGTTTAATGCCAATCATTAATAAACTGGGCCATGTATCTGCTGAGCGTGTTTGATTCCCCAATGTCCCCACAGAGCTGAGCATGGGAACTCTTACCCCATCTCCCACAGTGTGCCACTGTAACAGCCCTCGCCTGGTGAGGCAAGCCAGCTAGGAGGAAGCACGGGACGAGGCCTAAGATTCAGGGTGTGCCCCAGCAGCGCCTGTTCCCTAGCCACAGAGCACGGCCACAGCTTGCTGTGAAAATAGCAGCTCCTCACACCTTTAAGGAATCAAATGCATTTAAACTTGTTTCTAGATATCATCCTTTGTATTTTAAACTCCAAGTTGGTTTCGAAGGCTGGTCCTTGGGCTACTTATGGATTTTAGCCATGGCCAGGGGCATTTTTGGATTTCACTTTAGAGTGTTCTCTTTCTCTCTTTTCTTTTTGTGTATTCCCGGATATCCTGGAACTTGCACACTTTTTCTGTAGACTAGGCTAACCTCAAACTCACAGAGATCCTCCTGCCTCTGTCACTCGGCTGCTGGTATTAAAGGCGAGCACCACCACCATCCGGCTTTTGTCTTTTCTTTTAAAAATTAATTTGAATGCATCAAGTATGCCACTCACAAGTTTCAGCTAACCTTGTTTTGTTCCCCATGTTAATGACCTCTGAATGTGCCTATGACGTATATAGAGAAACAGACAGCAAGCGTTGTCCGTCAGAAAGGCTGATGTCATGACTATCTTGTACAGGCTAAGCACACCCCTACTTCCCTGGAGTGAGGATCGCCAGGGCTAAGCCTTCCTACCTTCTGGGGTGACCATCAGGTGCCTCCAGAGGCCAATGTGGGCATCCAGGAGCCCAACCTGACACTCATATCCCCCTCATCATGGCCCTGTAATTTATTCATTCTTGTACAGATTGTCATGGCTGTGAAATTGTGGGTGGATTGAATAACTTTCCCCAGGGCACAGGGCAGACTTTGCATTCACCGCTTGAGCCTCTGAGGTGTGAGACAGATAAATCCCTTTCCATCTTTACCAGATGTGAGGCCACTCCTCCTTTTCCCATCTTTGAAGCTGCTTTGAGCTCTGATGGTTTTTACCGCATACATCATTCCTTTATGCAGTAAAATAGACCATTCTCTGTAGATGCAACGGAGCATGTTAGATGGCCCCTTGCTTGGGAACAAGGGAGCCAGGCAGACCAGGCTGCAGATGTCCAGCCTTCGGATGATTTGGTTTGGTTTCTTCCTAGAGGACAAATGATACATCATCAAGCCCATCTTCCCGTCTCATCTAGAAACACAAAGAGGGAGAGTGGATGATTGAAAGGTGGTTCCGGAGGTTTACTAGTCCTTTCTCAGGAGACTTCAGCCTTTAGTTACAGGTCACATGAACACTATTCTGAATCTTAGGGACATAACTTCATTAGGGCTATATTTTCTGGTCCTTTCCTGGGATCTAACTGATCTACCTGACTTGGGCAGGTCCCTGCCCTCTTGTCTGGTGTTCAGGCTTCTTGAAATCTAGAGTTTCCAAAGCACTAACCTAAGACTGGACACAAGATTACTTGCACACACATACACACGCATGCGCGCGCGCACACACACACACAAGCATACACAAGCATAAGAAAATTATCCAGAAAAGCAGCTACGTCAGGCCATGTGCCTCACACACAGGAGGGAATGTCACTGGTGCCTGGTTTGCCAGACTTTTTCTGAGTCGCAGTGGAGTGAGAGGCATGCTGGCAGTTTGGGGGTGACCAGGCTTTGTGCTTCCCTGGACTGCCCCATCCATTCCCTTCATTCCCTCCGCAGAGAAGGCTCAGTGCACTCGTGGGTAATTGTTGCTCTCTGGTTTGTACCTGTGCTGTTCTTATGCTGATGTGACCTCTTCTCTCTCTGTTGAAACAGACTAACGGTTATGATGGAGACTATTGCGGATCCCAGTCCCTAAGTAGAAGATCTGGCAGGGTTAGTACAGCCACCGTGCATGGCGCGCGCTCTCAGGGATGCTGCTTCAACGTGTCTAAAATGGATTGCTAAATTTAGTTACTTTGCTCTTTTTATATTACCCTGGCTCCCCCCTCGCCTGTAGCACATTCTAACATTCTCAGAATGTTAGCCTTCTAGCATTCCTAGCATGATTTGCATTCTAGATGTTACGCGGGGGTAAAAGCTGATAAGCATTCCTGAAAAGACCCAGGAAGCAGAATTAGCTTGCTGCTGTCTGCTGCCTTTATACGCATGTCTTTTGGTGATTTGGCTCTCACGTGGATGGAAGCCCACCATTTTCAGTTCTCCATATTTCAAGCTTTAATGTTTATGTCTTAATGTTTATCTTAAAGATGCACATGTGAGAGCCTACACAGAATTCTGACATCTTAGGTGCTCACGGTTAAGGGTGGGAGGCAAGTATTCTAACGAAGAAGCCAGAGCGGTGCAGGGAGAGACGGAGAGAGGGCCAGAGCCTGAGAGAGGCCTGGGCTCTGTCAAGGGTGTAGCCGTTGGACATTTCAGAAGGTTAAATTGGACACATTTTAATTAAGCCGCAAGATCCAAACAGATTAATCTGAGTTAAATGACCTAATACCTTCCTGTGTTTAATGTCATTTTCCCCTTCTAGTAATGTTTCTTGTGTAAAATTTAATCTATTTTAATTATATTAAGATAGCATTTAGTCAATTCAATTCCATTTCTAGGCTCTTTAGCTCTCTCTCTCTCTCTCTCTCTCTCTCTCTCTCACACACACACACACACACACACACACAAACACAGAGAGAGAGAGAGAGAGAGAGAGAGAGAGAGAGAGAGAGCTAACAGTTTCAGCCTTTCCAAACTGGTAGAACAGGTTGCTTGAGCCTTCTCAAACCTATTTAGATTACCTGTGCTTTTTCTATGACTCCCCCTTCTCCCCGCCAAACCTTTTCTAGTTCCAAACTTCAGAGCACTCCGAGTTAAAGCCTTCTTTCACCCTTCACATTGACACCTGCTGAATCGTTAAGGCATCTGGGCCCTGCAGGGACACAAAGCTGCAGTCACTGCCCTGTGCATGTCCTTCAGTGGTGTGGCCGGCCGACTGTGCTCAGCAAGCCTGCAGAAGTAGCTGCCAGCTTAAGCGATAAGAGCTTCAGTGTTTCCCAATATTGACCAATCGTGGCTTTCCCTCATGGTGTTTTGTCATAACTGAAGTTGTTTGGCAGTTCTTAGTTTGAACTTCCTTCCGATGCAAACACTCCTCTCTACACATCCGTGGCTCGGGGTGGCATCTATGTGTCGTCCATATATCCAGTACAGCTGTGCTTTACGATTTAGTTTTAAGGTTTAGACAATGCCTCTGCAAGTCAAAAGCCTTGATTATAAAATGGCTCATGGAGTGAAACTAGACGTAAAATTGGTCTAACAAGTAGCTAGAGAGAGTCACATGACCGAAGAACAGACTAACCTTCATCTAGTTACACTGAAGAAGCTCTGAACCTGTGGGGCACTCTGGAGGAAAGAGTAGACAGAGAAAGGAGCTGTCCAGATGCAAAAGAACATCTGCCTGATACAAACTGAACTTGGGAATGTCCGTCTCCTCCCTGCTTGGTTACCACGCCTCCTGGTCTCCTGTGCAGTGTCGCCTCCCCCACATGCTCTACAGAGCACACACAACGCCAGCTGTCTCCACAGCAGAGGTGGGAGCTGGCTCTCAGCCTCCCCTTGCCTCTCTGCATCTAGGGGCTGGACTAAGCAGAAGAAAGGCTGAAGGTTTTGCAATAGGAAGACTGTTAACTACCTAAGGAGATAGGCAAAGAGGAGAGTTAGATGTACGAAGTCTTGGGTGGTTTGACACGAGATTCGGTAAGCAACTGGCTAATGATAATGGAGCACTCAGCTTCGCGGAGACAGAGCCCCGCGGTGTGAAAGGCTCACAGCTCAGACATCCAGGCTCACTTGCTAAGAATTTATGCTGTGAATCCTTCAGGTGAACCAGGGTTCCTGGGTCCTAACATTGGGGTGCCTGTGCTTGCCGAGGGAATGGGCGGGGTAAGGAAGCACTCACTGCTCACAAACCCTCCCTTTTTGGTGCTCAGAATTCCAGCTTCAGTGGCGGCGGCGATGGCAGAGTCTCCGCTTTGTCGTCCTCCAGGGAGGAGAAGTTGGTTGGTTCCCATTTAAATCTTTCACATCCTCTCTACAGAAACTGCAGGTTTTGTAGCATGCACCCTTGTGTGTGGGATCCCCTCGCCCACACTTGGAATGACTGTTCTACTGAGCTCTGAGAGAAATTAACGTGTGCTGTATCATTCAGACTTACCACTGTTCTGTGTTTTGCATAAGTTGTCACATTCAGCCAACTGCCGTGAGTGAACCAATGGCATGCTTGTGTATGTTGTTTTCCAGTTAGAACCAATCCAAAGCGGGGAAATGAAGAGCTTGGACCTCCTCACCTCCTCTCTGAAAACAACGATCCTCTCTAGGCACTTTGTGGCACTTTGTCAGGGTGATGTGACCTTGGCATGAAAATCCGTCTAGTCTAGCTAGCTTTATACACACGTGTGCATTGACCTGGACAGGTGATTTCTATTTATTGAAGAATCCTACCAGTTTGGGCTGGCATGTCCTAGTTAAGGCTCATCCACTCACTGAACTCGGGAACCAGCTTAGGTAGGTGGACATAGGCCCACAGAGCCACGGGATGGGCACTCCTGCGTTATCCCTAGAATTCAGGCCATCACTGATGGGTCCCAACATCACAGTAAATGGGAGGAAGTGAGACTGATTTCTCCAGCACTGTCATCAGAATGGATGTAAACCTTAAAGAACAAAGAGAAGGAGCTGGAGAGATGGCTCAGTGGTTTAGAGCACTTGGCTGTTCTTGCTGGGGACCTGGGTTCGGTTCCCAGGAGTTACCTGGCAGTTCATAACCATCTGTAACTCCTGTTTCAGGGAATTCAGCGCCCTCTTCTGGCTTCCAAATGCACCAGACACACACAGTGTGCTTTCATCTATTTATGCAGAACACTCAAACATAAAGTAAAATAAGTCAATGTTTTTTAAATTAAAAAAAAATAAAGAGGAAACAAAATCCCTAAAGAATTAAAGGATTTACCCAAATGAAAACAGAGTACACGTCCAACCCAACTAATTTAGCAGAAAGAATCTGTACCCCGAGAGTTAAAGGTCAGAATTAGAGTTGGCCCCTTCAGACATAAAACACATTTCTCCAGACTGGATCTCGGGATCTTGTCACTTAGCCTGACGGTGTGCCTGCCTAATTCATTCTTGTAATGTCCACCAAGCTGGTGAAACCGGGCACCATCCCTGGTGAACTATTACCTAAGGCAGAAGATGAGGTTCCTATACATTTCTGATTAGGACTTTACCCACCAAATTTTAAAAGTCAGAACTCAGATTATGAAGACTAAAACCCCCAGATCCTGTTATTGGTTAAAATCAACTCCCCCGCCCTGTGTGTGTGTGTGTGTGTGTGTGTGTGTGTGTGTGTTGCACATGCACACTGACTTAAAGTCCTAACAGTCTAGTGGAGTCGTTCTGGTTCCGTCAATTAATGGACACTTGTTCCCCTAACTCTCTTGTTCCCCTAACTCTCTTTCCCTCCTGCCCAGGAAGTTGTGGTTGTGCGAAGACAGTTTTCTGTGTGTCCAGCCCTAATCCACCCGTGAGATGGAGTGATTTCACACTCCCCACGCACCTCACCCGACTTGACTGTTTTCTTTCATTGCAGGGATTCTTTTGCTCCGACCACGGCCTTCCCAGTAGTGGCCTTGCTTCCAAACCCCTGTCTGCCCAGAATGGAACCCGGGTCTGTTCCCCCACTCTTTCCTCTGCAAAGCACTTTGGGACTGGCACGCTTAGAGGGCATTTCAACCTCTTCAGTGTGCAGTCAACGGGGCCGGGCTCAGGCTGTTTGGAATGGCTTCGTTAGCTTGCTGAGACTTTCCTCAATCTCCTAAAAATGTCATTTAGGACCTAATATGGAAAAACAGACCTTAGGGAAAGAAGGGGTGTGTGAAATGTATACTCAAAACAAAACAAAACAAAACCTTCAAGTTCAGAAAACTGGTCTCTTGGGTTTCTCCATTTCCAGCAATTGTTCCCCTATTTGGGATTCCAAATTGCTTTTTAAAAATAATATTTTTCTTTTGTAAACGTGTCCAGGAAGCAACCTACAAGGTCTCTGTGCACGTTGCCTCCAGCATCTTGGAGAAGTGGACAGGGCTGAGCATTTCTTTGACTCTGCCCCTTTCCCATTTTCACAAGGCCAAGGTTCAAATCCAGCCAAAATGGGCCTTTGTTGCTCTGGGCTCACGAGCTCTTTTGCAGCCCAAGGGCGCCGTGTTAGAAATCCCAATGCACATGCTCTTTTGGAGGTTGGCTGTCTCCTTCGCAGGCAAACTCAGCTGCTGGAAGATCTGTTGCTTGGCCCTGCATCTTTCCCTGCTCTCTCCTGTACCCTATGCTGCGTGTTTGTACTAAGTCCTGGCCCAGCTCTGTAGCTGGGTCCTGTACCCCAGAAAGCTGCTTCTATACCCCAGCATGAACCCTCAGAGCTCTGTGCTACTCTGTGTTCTAGGCGTGAATCCCCTTGGGCCTTTGGAAGTTCCAGCCCCAAGCAGCCAGCAACAGCCTTACACTCTCTTTGTGTCTTGACTGCTGCCATAACCCTGACAGAAACAGTCATACTCTTTCTGACACGTTCTCTCTGTAATTTTCTGTACCTGAGGGCATGGTTCAAAGTCCCCCTTGATATCAGAATCCAAAGGTACTCAAGCCTCTGAGATAAAGTGATGTGGCATTTGCATAATGCCAGCACATCCGCTGGCATTATGAATTTTAAATCAGCTCTGGCTTACGCATGATGCCTACTGTGGAAATGTTGTGGAATAGTTGGTAGGTTGTGTTCAGAGAATGATGCGGGTAGAGTCTGTCCATGCTCAGTGTACATTGGTTTGTTTTGTTTTGTTGTTTTCGGATATTTTTGATCCTTGCTTGGTTGAACCCAGGAATGCTGAACCCTAGCTATGGGGTTGGGCTGTGAGGTACCTGGGTGGCCTTGAACCTGGCCCGGTGACTATTTCCATCTGTTGGCTTTGCTTCAGGTCTTCTTCCAGCATCATCTGAGAAGAAATGATTGAAAAACAATAGCTTCATCCCAGAGATGCTGGGAAAGTCTGATTTTCTAGTTGGAAACTGTATCATTTATCTTTCCTGTAAATGTTGGACTTCCGTATATCTAGTCCCTTGAAAACACAATACCTTAACTTTGGCTCATCCTTCTAAGCATTGTAGGATAGTTACTTAGTTGCCAGAACCGGACTGCATGGCATGGCAGCCTTCACGTTCCTGTCTGTTGCTGTTTTCCCAAGGTCTAAAGCCTGCCATTCGCTTTCCTCCTGCAGCCTTCCTTTCTGTGCGGTGCTGCCCGGCCTGCTGGGAGTTACTGGGTGCGTGTGTGCTCTCTACCCCTGCCCTGCATGCTCACCTCTGCCTGTTGCACATGCTCTCCTGCCCTGAGCCCCATTTCCTGCCCTGCTCGGGAAGCAGCACTTACTCACAGATTACCCGCCCTTTTGTGGTCTTTATTGGTCCCCATTAGTCAGATCTGGGCTTTCTTTTCCCTGACTGCTGACAACAGCCTTCACCCTGTTTCGTCTCTTGGAAGACTTGTTTAAGGTTGTTAGGAAGGAAACAATGACAACATTTACCTATTGGCAGAAAGACAGATGGCTCCTGAAGGTGGTGAGAGCCGTAATAGACTCTCATCCACGTTGCCATAGTACGTTGGAAATTTCCGTATGTCTATATAACTTTGGAAGTTTCCAGTTTTAAATGTAGGTCCTTACATTCTGCAGAAAACTAGGTTTTCAAAGTTACTGTGTTAGTAACTGGGACTTTCCGCCACATTGCACACTTAGGGGTTAGGTATGTGCACGTGGCTAAGCTAGCCAGGATTTCCTGAAGAGGAATAAGGAAAACTCAGGTATCTTTAAATGGAACAGTATTTGACATCACTGCCTGAGAGTTTATAAACCTCTTTCTCTATGATTAACGGCATGCAGTGTTCAAGGTAATCAAATACTGTTTTCTGTGTAGCAACTTCTGAAGAGATATAAAATATCCACCATCGAAACGATAATTACCGTAATGTTTTAATCCGAAGCCACTTAGCATCAAGGATAATTGTGTTGACAAGGCATGTGAGTTTGCTTTGACGAACTTTAGGACGTTTGGGTTGCTTGCCAGTTTTCAGTCTTGATTGGCGAATCTCATGTGGAATGTTTCCAATACTCTCGGGAAATTGCATGCCGACTGACGGCCACTTCAATGTCTGCCTTCTGATTCCTACACCTTTTTGTTCTCTGGGGCTCTCTGAAGAGCTGAAGAGGGTGATGCGGAGCCTGCATGGGGTTTGCCGTACCCTCTCCCTGGCACATATCACTCTTGCTAACCTTCCCTTTCTGTGTTTTCTCTGGGGTCCTGTCAAAAGGAGTGTGTTTCCTGCCCTGACAGTCTGTTCTTGTCGCAGGCGTCCGTGCTGGGTGAGAGCAGCCTCTACGGGGCTCGAAGGGGAAGCGCCTGTGGCTCTCGAGCTGTAAGGCGCTTTTCGTGTTTCCCATCATGTCTCACTGTGTGCTGCATGACCCACGGGTGTTTGCTGGATGGTGACTGATGTCACAGGAGGAAACGCTGTCTGTGTTTTCCTTTGTGGTAAAGGTCAGGGATGATGGAATCAGGAAGTCTTTGCTTGTTAATTTCGTGTCCTCACTCAACAGTTTGTACCGAGGTCAGAGACTCGCCTTAGTTGGGTTTCATCTGCTTCAGTACCTGTAGCTCCCAAGTAACATAATGAGTAATGAATTTCTGAACCTTAGAAAAGGAGAAAGGGGTTTGGACAGACCCCCAGGGTTGCTGTGATGGTGCTGGTCTCATTTTGCAGGACTTGCTCTGTCCCCTTCTGACCCTGTGACAGCTAGTACTTGTGTGTGGTAACCCAATCTTGACACCCTGGGAGGAGTTTCCACCCATCTGAGCAGGCATCCCGGAAGCCCGTTTCTCGCAGGAAGTGAGAGCAGAGACGGACCCGACAGACATTCTCTTCTTTGTGGTGGGCATGCCTATGCGGGCCTGTCCTAACTCCTGTTTCACAACCTTCGCATGACCAATGAGATGAAGGTGTGATTCAAACTCAGAGCTTTCTGACTTACATTAGCTGCCCACTGGCCACTTGACTCCTCGACATAGGTGATACCTGAGGCCTGGCGACATGAATGCTTCTCTTCCAAAGGGTCAGGTCAGTCCAGCTGGTCAGAGAATGGACTAAGGATCCTTAAGTAGGAAGGAAACAACATGGCATGGTCTCTGTACGCCCCAAACCTGAGTGCAAACATGTCCTTATCCAGTGAAGAGATGTAGTCGGGATGTCTCTGCAGCCCTGACCATGCTGGCCACAGCCCTTTAAAACACCCAGGGCTTTTGTTTAACCCTCAGTGACTTCTGGACATGAGGTGACACATGGGGCCTGGGGACATGATATAGCTTCTGGTTTTCAGGAGGGTCAAGTCAGGCCAGCTGCTCTGAGAAGTGTTCTGACCCAGGAGCCTTGGGCTGGCAACCTGAGGTGCAGTCTCTCTGACCATTGCTAGCGATGAGCTGGGGTCATTTGTTCCTGCATTCAGCAAGTGTGCCAGGCCTTATCTGCTCACTGGAGAGCCACCGGAAACTGAATAGATGTGTACTCTGCTCATGGGGGCTGGCTCTCTGGTAAGAGAGTATCATAAGCACCCCCAGAGATCCAGAGTCCTTACAGTTCATAGTGAAGGTGCTGCTTGCAAGGCCTCGCAGCCCACAGGTCAGTCTGGCTTTTGTCCCAGGGCGGGTGGCTGAATACAGACTAAATTTTAAGAGACTACAGCCCGGTGGCCGTCATCATCCTTCATCAAGAGTTAGGAAGCTTAAATGGACAGGTAGCCGGGGTACCCAGAAGACAGATTCTCCAGTTTCTACCTGGAAAGGTGGCAGAAAAGCAAAACCTCCCCTTCAGAAATGCCGCCAGCCCTCTTCTTAGCTGGTTTCTGAGCTGGGATGCAGCCAAAGGCAGCTCAGGCTCTTGCGAAGTGCCATCGCGTACCCAGGAGGCGAACACAGGAGATGGGATGCACACCCACGTTTGAACGATGCTTGGTGTTTGCTGGAAGCTGCATCTTGTGGATAATGCAGTTGTATTTTATTATTGATAGATATTCACCTGATCTTGTGGCAGGTGCAAACTCCCTTTCCGAGCCCTGTCTGCTCCCTAACCCTAACCTGTCTTTCCTCACTGCCATGTATGTGTGTGGCTAACCTCCACACTAACTGAAGCTCCATCTTGATGGCTTTTGTTTTCCTTACCTCTTTGCTGACTCTGTTCCTTTGTTTCTATCTCTGCATCCTGTGGTGGCTCCATGGTAGCCCTCAGAGTACAGCGGCCACCTCAACTCCAGCTCCCGGGCCTCCTCTAGGGCCAGCTCGGCGCGGGCCAGCCCTGTGGTAAGTCTGCTTCCTGGCCCTGCTGCCCTCCAGCTTCCTTCCTTCCTTTGTCCTTCCCCTCTGCCTCCCTCTCCTTTTCCCCTTGCCTCCCACCTTATCCTTCACCTCTCCGTCCCTTAGAAATGACCCCCGTCTTTGAAAGCCAGTGCAGGGTGAAGCTAGAAGCCTCTCGTTTTATTTTGGGTCTTAGTGAAAATTGGGATTGGGAAATGGTTTTGAGTTTAGAAAACAATTGGGTGGTGTCAGGGCTGCACTGTTCAGCTTCTCAAGAGCCATAACGGAACAGACGTCATTAGCGATGCTTAGAAATGAGGCTTGAGAGGGAAAAATCCATTCTGGGAATGTAAACAGTAGCCACGTGTGTGGATGTGCTGTATTTTACGATTTAAAATTTCGAGGGCTTGACTTTTAACATTGATTTTGCAGTAGTGGGGGTTATCAGACCTGACAAGTTTTCAAATAAAATGTAGGGCTGTAAATGCCTTGCCACTCTCTGTTCTGCTGAGGTCACCTGTTGTCACATTTGCTCAAAAACTGCATAGACGGTGTCACCAAGGCCCTGCTCCCCAGTTTGTGGCTCACCATGTGCCAGACGCCTGGCAGAGGAGCCAAGGCCCCAAGATCAGATCCTACACAGTTTGACAGTTTCACCTGATTGGTTGGTGGCTTTCTTTAAGGCTGCTTTATCATTATCTAAACAAGGAAATGTTTTGTTTTGATTTTGTGGGCCGTATTCTGCTGTCTTCCTCTGTTGCTGTCTGCCTAAATATCATAGGATGGAGTCTCTCACTAACACTGGTCCTTGTTGATTTGACTGAGCTGGCTAGTCAGTAAGCACCTAGCATCCTCCTGCCTCAGTGCTAGGATTACTGATACACACCACCAACAAACGGAGGAGGAAAAAAAGTGGTTTCTAAGGATCAAACTCAGGCCCTCACCAAGCCTGCATAGCAAGTACTTTACCAACTGAGTCACCTACCCAATCCCTTTGTTTGGGTCTCACAGCCCCAGATGGCCTTGAACTCACTGGGTTATGCCACCTGCCAAGTGCTAGGGTTGCAGGTGTGTAGTGTCACACCTGGCTGGACAGCTTTGGCTGGGGTGGGGAGACACGTGGGGTGGGGAGAGAGCTGTGGGCAGAGGCCTATGTTTGGAAAGCCCTGGTGGAAAGTGCAGGCAGTCCAGGTCAGTCTCTTCATCAGCTCTCATTAAAACACCCAGTCGTAAGTACACATCGTTTGGGACTCAGTTCTCCAGCGCTGTAGTGCCTAGGATTGGTCCCCACACCACAGAAAGCAAGGGAGCCAAGGCGCACTACTTAACACAGATGAGTTCATTGTGGGGTTTCCTACCAGAAGCAGCTCTCCCCTCCCTCAGAGTCAGTGGGATCCCTTGCAGCTATGAGCCTCCCCACCGAGTCAGTTCAATGGCCTAGTGCCCCTCTCTACTCCATTATGTGTCTTTCCTTTACAATAGAATGGCTGTCTTGAGCACTTCAGGCTTTGTGGTAGTATAGCATATGCACACTAATCCACGAGGAGCCTTCAAGTCACTAGGAACAAAGTTTTTTTCCCATTGCAGCTTAGTGTGGACTCCTCTTCTTTGTGCATAATGAGTGTGCGCTTGAGGAACAAGTGGAGGGTTTGTAACCAAGAGAAGTCTAGCTTGACTCTCAAAGATTCCCCATAACCCCCGATCCCACCCCATCCCTGCAGCCTGAGCACCTTCTGCCCAGGGTGGCAAAGCAGGATTCTTTGTCGTCACGTGGATTTATTTAAGTATTACGATGAAGTCATAGTATGACAACATTCGTTGTTATTGTGACTGGAAAGACTGATCCCTCTGTGTGTGTGTGTGTGTGTGTGTGTGTGTGTGTGTGTGTGTGTGTGTGCTATCTAGATCTTTGGGAAATTTACACACATGGAACAAGTTTGGTGGTTGTGTTTGCACAGAGGTGCATTGTACATCTGTGCAGCCTGTGAGGCAAGGGGATTGATCTCTTTGGGGTGTTGTGCACTCGGGGGTCACACCCTCACCCCTGCTAAGTCCATTGCAGAGATAATCAGTAGCTATTTTTTTTCTCTTCTTGTCACCTGTTTGTTGTCCCAAAAGTCCATAGATCGTTATTTCTGTTGTCTCATTTAGTGAGCAAAGGTCAGGGCAGAGATGTGTGGAAGACAGACTGGCCTCCTGACTCTCTCCTCACGTCACCCAGGTACACTATGCTGACCAAGGAACCTCCTGTGTGTGGCTTGCACCTCTGTAAGTGCAGGGCAGTCCCAGGAGATTGCTCTGTCAGTGGGGTGGTTGCTGACTTTTGCCAGGTCCCTCTCCCAGGGCCCTTGCCCTGGCCTTCTCCTCCATCTCAGGCAGGAACACCCACAAGTCCAAACATGAACTTCTGGGCTTCTTCCCACCAACAAGGCTGTACAGGCTCACAGACACTTTCTGTTGCCAACCAACCCAAATCGCACCCTCACCCCACCCCCAGTGCAGTAATAGCCCCAGGACACAGAAAAGCACGGTGTTAAGACTGAATCTTGAAAACAGCAGGAGTGGGGGCTAGCTCCATTCTTTAGGCCTCTTTAGATATCAGGATGCTGGGATTTTCACCCTCTGCCCTTGGGACAGACAAGGACTGCCGTGACCCTCCCATCTGACCTCTGTGGGAACCACATGGAGCAGGAGGTGCAATAAGGCAGGAGTTAGAAGATGGCTTGGTACATGTAGGCAGACGTATAAACACCTTGAGCTGAAACGGGATCAGGAACTGCCCCCTACAAAGACATAATTTGTTTCTGCTTGACTCGAGCTGCCTCAGCCACAATACAAGACAGTTGCTGGTGTCCATATATTTTCTTGGAAGATACCTCTGACCTAGTACTTCCCCAGGGGCGAGAAGAACATCCAAAAGCCAGCTGCCGCACTCGAGGCTCTGCATCTCACATCTGTCAGACAGGAAGTGAGGCAGGACTCAGGTTGGAGGAGGGGTGGGGCCGCTGAGGAGCAAAAGTCACCAGACCGAAGGAAGTGGTCATCCATCCTCCTATAAGAACATGAATGTGCTCCCACATCCATCGACTAAAAGCCTGGGACTCCCAGCGATACAATTCTTGGGAAAGCCAAGAGGCATCAGCTGCAATGCAGGTGGCAGATGACCGTGTTCCAACTCATTCTATTGCTACTCCCCACCCCCTTCACTCCCCCAGCCCCCAACCTCCACAGTCATTCTACTTGTCAGTCCTAATTAGTGTTAACTGTCAACACAGCCTACAATCTCCCCAAAAGGGGAGTCTCAACTGAGTAATATTGATCCCTGGACATGCCTTTAAGGGATTCTCTTAATTGCTATAGGAGGACACAGCCCATTGTGGGCAGTACCATCCCTAGACAGTCCTGGAGTTTATAAGAAAGCTAGCCATGGTTCCTCCCTCCAGATTCCTGCCCTGACTTCCCTCAATGGTAGACTGTCTTGGAGAGTACAAACCAAATAAAATCTTTCTCCTCCCAAGTTTCTTTGGGTTGAAAAGCCACAGAAGGAAAAGTAGCACACAGACACACATGATGAACCATGTTTTCGTTCTATCCTTTATGTCTAGAATCTTCTCCTTGAAGAGGTTGTAGTTCACCCAATCAGTGTTAATTTAGCACCTCGAATATTCTGGTCATGAGCTTATAGTGTTTGGCAATGTAGACCCGCCCTTGCCCTTTATGGGCTATACAGAGTGGGCCAGAAGATGCTCATCAAATAAATAACTTAAACATCAGTCATAGGAGCTGTGAAGACAGGTGTTAAGAAAGAGGTGGGATCTGGGGTTGGAGATCTAGGCTTGAACCACACTCAAGCAGAGCCAGGTGATACCTAAGGGCACCTTCCTGCCTAAGTCTCACAGCCCACTGGAATCCAGGAGAGCCTCTGCCACCCTGAAACATCTTCAGGAATGTCTTGAGGGAGCCAGTACTTAAGTGGTCTTGTACATTCATAGAAAAGTGCTGAGCCCAGCTGTTTGCCCATTTGAATTTGAAAGCAAAGACCCTTGTGACTCCTGTTACATAAAGAGGCAAAGGCAGGATCTGTGGAGAGCAAGTCTGCCTCTGTAGGTACAAGAGTAGATTTAAAACCCGCGATTCACCAAGGACGGTGGCGCGTGACTGTAATCCCACTACTAGAGGCTGAGAAAGACACATCGTGATGTTAAGGCTATCTTGGGCTACATATTGAATCCCGGGCTACATAAACTCTATCTTAAAAATAAAATTAGGGGAGCCGGGTGGTAGTAGTACACACTTTTAATCCTAGCACTAGGGAGGCAGATGCAGGATAATAACATATACCCTGTGAGTTCAAGGACTGGTCGATAAAGCAAGTTCCAGGGCAGTCAGAGCTGTTACGCCGAGAAAACCTAACTCAAAAAAGAAAGAAAGAAAGAAAAGAAGAAAGAAAGAAAGAAAGAAAGAAAGAAAGAAAGAAAGAAAGAAAGAAAGAGGAAGGAAGGAAGAAAAGGAAAGAAAAAGGAGAAGGAGAGAACTGAGTCCCACAAATTGTCCTCTGACTTCTCCACATATGTAATGGCATGCACACACCCCCTAAATAAGTAATAAAACTCAACATTCCCACACTGGTGGCTAGCCCCGCTGCCACTGACTTTGGAAGGGAAGCAGCTCTTAAAATGGGTGTTCCCTGAGTGGTGTTTCCTGTGTCACTTGTTTTGCAAGGGTTGTTGCAATGACATTGCCTCGGGAACCCTGTTTGCCTTCCAGTGTCTGATGCAGGCGCGTCGGAGTTGGGGCCGTGAGGTTCTCTCTTGGGCCAGTTCTTGCTTGGGTCTCTTCGTCTTCGAATAGGCCGGCAGACAGCAGCATGCTAATGAGTGTTTCAAACCTCATCACGTGATCTTTATAAGAAACCTGCTGAGATGATGTGGACAGGACACACATTTAGCGTCCTCCTAAAAGACTTGCTTTCGGGAGGGTGGGAGAAGACGCCATCATCTGTGCTTCCACCGAAGTTTCTTAGACGGGACTTTTTTAGGAGGAAAAAAAAATTAAAGAAAGAAAATTGAGACTCTGTAGCCCAGCATGGTAATCCTCCTGCCTCAACCTCTCAAGCACTAGAATTACAGGCATGTGCCGCCACACGTGGTGGCTTCAGTAGATTTTGGAAGTAGTCTTTGAATACAGTCAGTGATAACTTATAAAATGCTCGCATACATCATTTAGAATCATGCTAGTATGACTTTAATCTGAAATATTGAGTACAGGGAATGGAGGTTAAAAATACTCATTAGGTCACAAGATTCCTGGTACTGTTGGCCCTTCTAAGCAGGGAAGGTCAGTGTTTGCAGGTCTGGTGGCTTGTCCCTTGTGCCTGCTGTGTCCACCACCTTTGGCAGCCTTGTCTCCATGGCAGCCCTCACGGTGGGTCGTGCAGCAACCGCGGATGTGCACCGTATTGTTTGCAGAGGTACGGCGGCTCGCTCTCTATCAGAGTGAAGGATGCCATCTGGTTTATTTCTCTGTCCCTTTGTGGAAAGGGTACAACTGTCTTTCTACTTCTTTCTCGGCTTGACTTGGGACAGGCTTGACCATAGGCAGACTGTCCATGCTGCCATCTACTGGAACCAGTAGGAACAGCAGCCCTTGTCACATCTCATGGGGCCCCAGCAGTACCTGTTTCAAAAAGGCTGATGGATAGATGCACCTTGTCAATTTGAAAACAAAATAGAAAGGAAAACAAAATACCATGCTGAAGGGTACTTTCCATGTATCTATATTGAGAGAACAGTTTTTAATTTTTCTCTGAATGGTCTCCACTTAGCTCCTTCCCTGATTTTTCATAGTCTGCATTCATTATATATTTTAGAGAAGAGGATTTTTTTTAACTATGGAAAAAACATACTATGTGATTTTTTTGAGGCCATGTAACTCAAGATGAACTGTAACTAACCACATATACAAGCTGGCTTCAAACTCAGAGGAATCCACCTGTCTCTCCCTCCCGTGTGTGTGGGGGGGGGTATAATTAAAGGTATTCACTACCGCACCTGACCAAGCTATGGTTTGGAATTTTTTTTCTTTCCTCTTCGATGTTTTGTGAGTTATAAAAGCAATGTATGTACCAGTTGCTAGTAAAAGCCCCTCCTTTTGTGGATGTAGATCTTTGCGACTATTTGGCTATCTGAGCTTTAGTGTTCCTATGCAATATGCATTGTTGATGAACAAGAGAAAACATATTTACTACTTTTGTTCCCAAGTAGCATGAACTTCATTTTCTGCCAAAATCATCCTCAAAACTTAGAACACAGGGAGAGTGGCTGAGGCAGTGGCTCAGTCAGTAAAGGGCTTGTCATGATGACCTGAGTCTTCTGATCGCTAGCACCCGTGTCAAAAGCTGAGCATAGCAGTTCACACCTGTTATTCCAGGACTGGGAGGTGAACCCAGGAGGAGCCCTAGGCTGCTGGCTGGCCACTGAGTCAGCAAGCCTGAGGTTCAGTGAGAGACCCTGTCTCAGACAATAAGGTGGTGAACCGAAGAAGGCACTGTGTGTCAGAGTCTGACCTTCGCGTGCACACACGTGTTCATGAACATACTTACATACACACCCAAGGAGAGCAGAGGAGGGCTTCCAACTCTGTAGACAGCGAGATAAAACTGTCTGAGCTGGGGCCTGCCTCAGCAGCCCACCGTGGATAGTGGACAGTCAAGCCAGTGTTGATCACACATGTGAAAATATACAGCATCTGGTGCTTAACCCACACGTCAGCCATGACTGGCAGTGAGTGGATCCACGGGGTCTGTCCAGCAGGACTGCTGAGTCCTTTCCATGTACTGGTTAGACTAGCACACACAGAGAAGAGAGCTGGGCGTTGGAGGTGGGTATCTTGTGCCTAGTGACCGGTTTCTCTTGCTACTCATGTTATCTGTGAGCTGTGACCTCAGAGCATGGCGGTGACTTCAGGACCATCCACCATAAACCTGTACAGGTGTCCACAGTGTCCTGTGCCACTCAGATCTGTGAATCTGAGGTAGGATGTGTATTTGCTACTGACATGTTTGGTGAATGCTCTTGGGGTCAAAGTTAAGAACTTCTGAGCTGTGGCAAGCAGAACTTGTGACTGAGGAAGGAAGCATGGTGGCTGAGGGTGGCCCAGTGCTGAACAGTCCTTACATCAGCTTCAGGCTTGGTACCCAAGCACACCCTTCTACCCCAGGTGTCTCCCTGGGGCTCAGCAACAGTGTACACCTGCTTCCAGCCACATGGGCCACCCTGCGTTCCACGGAGGCTTCTATCTGAGGAAAGGAAGGGTCTCAGAGAGGCTTCCACACAGGAAGGATAGATGCAGAAAGCCAAAGTCTTAAGGTTTTTTTATTTGTTTCTAGTTTTTTGGGTTTTTTTTTTTTAGTTTTTTAATTACAGCACGAGATAATGTTTTGTTGTTGTTGTTGTTGTTGTTGGTTTGGTTTGGTTTTTTGAGACAGGGTTTCTCCGTGTGACAGCCCTATCTGTCCTGCAGGCTGGCCTCAAACTCACAGAGATCCGCCTGCCTCTGCCTCTCAAGTGCTGGGATCAAAGGTGTGCGCCACCACCACCTGGCTTTGTCATACTGCAGAATTTATATGATCCATTCAGTGCCTTGAACTATTTGACAGTTGTCCCCTTCCTCCACAGGTAGAAGAAAGACCAGACAAAGACTTCATTGAGAAGGTAAGGGCTTTCTGCAAACCTCTGTCTCAGGCCAATGATTAACCTAGGTCCTGGGTAGGACTGACCTCAGTGACTGAGACTGCTAAGGTGGTCACACATGATGTCATATCTTCAAAGGAGTCCCGCGTGAATGTTGAAATCTGAGGGACAGTAAAGAGCTCACTGCTAGCTAGACAAACCCAAATCACCCGTGAAACATCTCTGAATGAGCCCTTTTAACACTGGCCAGAAGTTCATGGGAGACTATCCAGTATAGAAGCTGAGTTAAAGAAAAGGTGCGCTCAGGCCAGGAAGATAGCTCCGAGGGTAAGAGTGCCTGCCTTGGGGACCTGAGTTCAAGTCCCCAGCACACATGTAAAAAGCTGGGTGCGTTCACATGCACCTGGAACCCCAGCATTGTAGCTGGCCATCTAGTCTAGACAAAATGGTGAGTTTTGAGGGTTCTTGGTGAGAGCCCTCATCGCGAGGGAATTCAGTGGAGAGTGTGAGAAAGGACACCTGGCAGCTTCCTGTGGCCTCTACACTGTTACCTACACATAGCTCACCCGCACACTTACACACCAGAAATGATCATCTGTGGGAGCTAAAATGGAACACGAAAGAAGAGGTTCCGAAATGTCCGACTTGTTGGTAATTTTAGTTTTACCAAATGATATCTGTTCTTCACCCATTCCAGGGGTCCCGAAACATGCCCAGCTTGTCTGCTGCCACGCTGGCTTCTCTGGGCGGGACTTCCTCCCGGAGAGGAAGTGGCGATACCTCCATCTCCATGGACACCGAGGCATCCATTAGGGAAATTAAGGTAAGACACTGTGCTCACCTGTGACTTATCAGAACCCCTTGGGAGACTGCTTGGTCTTCATATTCATAGAGAGTTAGTTTGTGAGGTTTGAGATCAGGCCCATCTCCTCTATCCGCCTGACAACATGGTTCACCTAACACTGGACCCAACGGAGGCAGCATCTCTGGGGGAAGCTTTACCTGCCTGTACCCAAGCAGGGAGGAGCATGCGTCCCCCTCTGTGGCCATCAGTTCTCTGTTCCCCACGGGCCACGCCATCTTTCACCATATGATAACACATGTAGGTATTCACTTTTCATTTTCTGGAATGTTCTAGACGATGGAACATTCTGGTCATCAAGGACCACAGCAAGTGCCCACCCTCTAGCATCTTCTCCCTCACCTAGAATGCATGCTCTCCCTTCTGTGGGTAGCGTGCCTTTGGTAGACTTCATCACTGCATCTTAATGATGTTTCTTTTCCTGCTATGACACAGAAATTATTCTTTGTTAAGCCTTTGACACCAGGGATGGCGCCATGTATGGTGACCTCCTCAGTATATGGAAAGATTGTCACAGCCCGGCACAGTTTGTTAATTATTAGCACAGTGTGTACTGTTAGGTAACTGGAGCAATTGTGTCCCAAACAGGAAAGGAATGAAGGGTAGGTGGCCAGATTTTGTGTCCTTCAGGGAGCGCGGAGCAAGACAGAGGGTCAGACCCAAAGGGCTGCATTTGGCTAATTTTGTAGGAAAGTTTCACCGTACTCAAATCCGGTTCACAGGGACCCAGCTCCCCTGGTGGCGGCTAAGCAGCCAGATGGCATTTGCCAGGAGACTAAAGAAAGGATTGAAGCAGCTGCTGGTGTCAGACTGGAGGCGCTGCTTCCATGTTCTATGAATATGAAGCCAGGATAGTTGCGTTTTGTCTGCTCCTCTAAAATGTGACGCACCAGACCCCAACATCCTCAGCCACTAATACTGTTACTTTCTTTATGGGCTGGAAGTGGAGGTCACTACAGTCCTGCTTAGACTCTGTTCTTAGGCATAAGTACCGTTCATTTGCCTGGCAGGTGCTTGCCAGGAGACTAGTCTGTGACAAATCTGTCTCCAGGTACCAGACACCTGGAGAGATGTGTTCATCTCTGCCCCCAGCAGCTCACTGTCTGTGGGGTAGGAAAACAGGGAGCTAAACGCTTGGCCGTGTTCTTTTGGCTCGTTGTTGCTTAAGGTTTAGTAGTAGTAGTAGTAGTAGTAGTATTTTGTTTATGTGTCTCTGTGTATCAATGCCACATGTGTGCAAGGTGCCCACGAGGCCAGAAGATGGTGTTGGATCCCCTGAAGCTGGAGTTACAGGTTGGCAATAGAGTCAACCACCTGACGGGTGCTGGGACCAAAGCTGGGGTCCTCAGGAAGAGCAATAGGCACTCTGAACCCCTGAGCCATCTCTCCGGCCACTCCCACACTTGCCTGTTTGTTTATTTGCTGCTTTTTAAAGATTTGCTTGTTTACTGTTTATTTTATGTATATGGATAGTATCCCTGTGTACCACATGCATGCCAGGTTCCCACAGAGACAAAAATAGGGTATCAGATCCCCTGGAATGGCAGTTGCAAAGGGTTGTGTGTCACCATGTGGACACTGATAATCAAACCTAGGTCCTCTGAAAAAGCAGGAAGTCCTCTTAACAAGGGAACCATCTCTCCAGCCCCAAGTTTTTGCCCTGTTTTGTTTTGTTGTTGTTGGTGGTGGTGGTGGTGTGTGTGTGTGTGAGGGGGGGGGTTTCTCTGTGTAGCCCTGACTGTCCTAGAACTTGCTTTGTAGACCAGGCTGGCCTTGAACTCAAAGGATCCACCTGCCTCTGCCTCCCGCGCCCTAGGATTAAAGGCGTGCATCAACACTGCCGGACTCTTTTTGCTCATTTTTTAAAAATTTATAAAACAATACAAGACACACCTAATTTTTTTAACATTGTATTAAAATGATATAAATTTTAATATTTATAATGCTGAAACTTATTTTCACTTTTTTTTACTGCCTAATAAAATAAAGAAGGAACCCCGTCTCTGACTGCCTAAACACTGGGGCATACCCAGACATAAGAAAGCCGCAGGTGTGCGTGTGAACTCTGCCGATTCTCTCCCTTGACCTCATCTGCCTTTTGTGCGTTTCCCTCAGGAACTTAATGAGTTAAAGGACCAGATTCAGGATGTAGAAGGCAAATACATGCAGGGATTGAAAGAGATGAAGGTACTGGCTTATGGTCGTGTGAGCCCGTGACACTAACCCACCTTAACTTTTAAAAAGCCTCACAAGCCCTATGCGCATGCTCACCCTGAAGGCCACCAGTTATGGAGAGTGTGGGAGCATGGGAAATTCTAACACAGTGTGCATCTGTCTTCTTCCAAATGCAGTTTCTGAACCCAGTGGAAAAGGTGACCGGCCTACCCCCCTGATGTGGGGTGGCGCGCAACACCCTTCCGCTAGGCTCAGAGCCAATGTCTCATTTTGCAAACACAGCAGACAGACACTGGAGAGTTTTGGTTTTCTTCGCTCTCCATAGTCGTCACACGCAAGGGTCTTTCTCCCAGTTTGCTTTGCCGAGCTCACCAGAGCTGTCCTAACATGTGTGTTCTGGAAACTTGGAGGTTAGTGCATGCCGTCGACCAGTCCTTAGGGGAACAGCGTCTGCGAGTGTGTGCGTGTGTACACTGCTCCCAGACTTCAAAGGATGTTGCCGTGCCAACAGAAAATGTAGATTCCCAGTTCCTTAACAATGCTGGGGTGAGCAGGTGCCTTAGGGAGCAGATGCCAAAGCACAGGCAGCCACAGCCACCAGACAGCTCATGGCAAGTCTGGAATCGAGCAGTAGATACAGATCTGTCCCTTCTTTTTCATCTCCCCAGAAAGGGCCTAAGAGATCCTCTAAACGCCATAGCAACAAGCACGGGACAGACAGGTGGCATAAGTCACATACTAATTCATCATTTTCAAGGTCATTTCTACATAATAGAAACATTAAGACCCTGGCTTTTCACTCACCTAAAAATGGAGTCAGTGAATCAACTGGGATCCAATGGTACCACCTCTGGTTGTTGTGGTGTGGGTACCTAGAGCTAGACCCGTGCAGGATTCCCCAGGGTCTCTTCGCAGCCCTGACACTTGAGCCGAAACCTTTCTCTTAGGCTCTGGGTAGTCCACTGCTGGTGGCTGCCCCCTCCACCGTCCTGGTGGCTGCCCCCTCCACCTTCCTGGCATCACTTTCCTGATGCCTACATTTTGGAGCCTACAAGAGTGGGAGCCATGTTTGGGCACTGTCAGTGTTATCCTTACAGCTTTTTTCCCACGGCTGCCCTTTCAAACAGATGACTTTGGTCTTTCCAGGGCCTACCCAGTAAGACCTGTGGACCTTGTTTGATTTCCCATGAGTCAGAAATCTGCAATGACCACAGATTCTTTCCTGGTTCCCAAGCCTGAGCGGGGTGGCCTAGCAGTGGCTTGTGGCAGGGTTTTATTTCCATCCGTACCTGGCTCTTTCCCAGGCTATATCCACACACTGAGTGATGACTTCAGAAACCCATTTATAAGCCATGACCCATGGGGGAAAGATTCTGGCTGCTGCATCAGAGAGTCAGTGGCTCCGCGGCCTCCCTGAGCAACCGGCTTCACACATACCTCCTTGTCTTAGTGAGAAGATAGACTACGGCCTTAGCCACTTTTCCTATTGCTGTGCCAAAATGCCCCCAACAAAAGCAACTTAAAGGAAAAGGGGTTTGTTTTGGTTCACAGTTCAAAGATATAGTCTATCACGTCAGGGAGTCCTGGTGGCAGGAACATGAAGCTGCTAGTCAGGTTGCCTGTGCAGTCAGCAAGCAGAGAGAAATGAGTGCTGGTATTTCCTTTCTATGCTAGCCAAAACTCCAGCCTAGGGATAGCCCACATTTAGGGCGGGTCTTCCTGTCTCAATTAACATCATTAGCATAATTCCTCACAGGCAAGCCATAGGCTACGGTCACTCCCCCCCACTCCCCCCACACACACAGTTGAAAGCTACTTGTCTGAGTGGACAGGACATTGAGAAGTGGGCTCCATGCATTTGAGATTGCACCGTGTCTCTTCTAAGAAGCAAAGGGTGAGACTAGAAAAGAACTCTAGCTTAATCGCGCCTTGTTTTCCTCTTGCAATTTGGAAACGATGGCCTGGTTTCTGCAGGACTCGCTGGCTGAAGTCGAGGAGAAGTACAAGAAGGCCATGGTCTCCAACGCCCAGCTAGACAACGAGAAGACCAACTTCATGTACCAGGTAGACACGCTGAAGGACACGCTGCTGGAGCTGGAAGAGCAGTTGGCCGAGTCTCAGAGACTGTATGAGGAGAAGAACAAGGTAAGCACCGCTGTGCTCAGGAATGCAGCGGAAACTGTGTAAATTAGTGTACTTGGCTGGGTGGTGGTGGCGCACGCCTTTAATCCCAGCACTTGGGAGGCAGAGGCAGGCAGATCTCTGTGAGTTCGAGGCCAGGTTGGTCTACAAGAGCTAGTTCCAGGACCAGCTCCAAAGCTACAGAGAAACCCTGTCTTGATAAAATCAAAACAAACAAACAAACAAACAAACTATATTTATATATATTTGATTTTTAAATATTTTTTTGCTAATTATGTATGTGGGAGGTGTTATGTGCACAAGTACACTAGTTTGTATACACACACACACACACACACACACACACACACATAATCAGAGCACGATGTCGGGTCCTCTAGAACTGGAGTTACAGGCAGTTGTGAGCCGCCTGACATAGGTGCTAGAAATTGAACTGAGGTCATCTACAAGATTCACTTAACTAACTGCCGAGCCATCTTTCCAACCCGTGTTTATATATTTTTTTAAACAGTGATTCTCCACTTGTCCAGAAAACCCAGAGTCTGAGAATTAGAACATTGTGTCTTTGTCATACATGATCCTATGATCATAGGTCATACAATGCCTATGATCCCAGCATGTAGGAGGCTGAGGCAAGAGGAGTCCAAGATTAACTCGGGCTACTTAGCAAGACTCTGCCGCCAAACCAAACAGTCTCATGGGTAGGAGAGCTAACTCACTCTAAAGCACTTGCTGCAGTGTTCAGACCTGAGTTCAGACCATGAGAAACCCTTTCTCAAAAACCCAGGCCAGGGCTGGAAAGGTGGCCAAGTGTTTAGGAATACATACTGTCTTGTCAGGGGGGCCATGTTTGGTCCCCAGCACTCATGTCAGGTGGCTCTCCAGCACCTGTAACACTAGCTCCTGGGGATCTGATGGCCATGGCCTCTGTGGACATCTGCACACATGTGCACAGACTCACACACATGTCCATAAAAATAATAAAGTCAACCTTGAAAAGAAAAGGCAAAAACCCCAAGGACGACAGCTCCTGGGGAATGACCCCCAAGGTAGACTTCTGGCTTCCACACAACTATACACATAGGTGCACACACACACACACACACACACACACATATACTCATACACATATATACATATAAAACTCAGACATCTGTGCCCTTCTCTGAGTAATTTGAAATGTGATTATGCATAGTTTCAATGTGTAAACTAGAGGATTTTGCTAGAATGTTGCTATTATGCATGAAAATAGAACAACCATGAAAAACATGTACAGTAAAGAACAGACATACTTAAATAATGCACAGCTAGATGCTTCCAGATTTTCATACTAAAATACATTTCCTGCCTTTGATTTTATGCCAGCTTCGTAGGGTATTAATTACAAGCATCAAAGATTTTAGGGAAATTGTACTGTTATTTCTACTTGGAAAAGGCACAGTTACTCCATTTTAGAAATCATACCTTCAGAGCTGAGAGAAAGGCGGTCATGCATGTGCTTCAGGACCCGCTGGGACTCAGGACACGGAAGCTGTTTTGTTCTTGTGTATCTCCAGCCTGTAGCACAGACCCCTAGAAAGAGACTCTAAGACGCATCTTAACAAGAGAGGAATTGGGAAATAACGTCTCCGCTTTGGGCAGTTTGAGGGTTGCTTTTAGGCGGAACTGTCTGATCGTCCTCCGTGGACAGCAGAGGAATGAGCGTGTGTTGTTGTGTTGCCTTGGAAACAGAGATGATGTAGTAGAGGGTCGTTTGTCCTGAGGGACCTGTGGCCCATGAGAACATGAGCCCTGTGACACAAACGCCACCAAACTGCAGCCTCTGTCCTGCATTCCTCACCCACAGGAGTTCGAGAGGGAGAAGCATGCCCACAGCATCCTGCAGTTCCAGTTTGCCGAAGTCAAAGAAGCTCTGAGGCAAAGGGAAGAAATGCTTGAGGTGAGTAACACCTTTCTTCTTCCTCTTCTGTTGCTTCCTTGCTCCTCTAGCCCAGGTTGCTGTGATAAAAGGCCACAGACTTGGTGACCTTGATAGCAGGTGTGTATTTCCTCACAGTTCTGGAGACCAAAGTCCAAGTCAAGGTCGGGCACAGAGGGTCACCTTCAGTGATGTGTCCTTAAGAGCAGAGAATGTACTCTTTCAATATGGACACCCATCCTGTCCACCTGGGACCCACCCTCATTTAACCTTCACACCTCTGAAGATCTTATCCAAACACTCACCTTGGAGGCCCGGGAGTCAGCTCATAGCAATCCCTAAAACTACAGCTTTGATTAATATCCAGCATTCAGACGACTTTTCCATCCCTCGAGGGGACGGCTCCTCTCGTGGGTGAAGACTCTCATTCTGGGGCTCTTGTGTGTGTTTTGGGAGGCGTGATTAAAATGATGCCCGCCTCTGCAAAGTCCGCATCCTAAGTCCCTAGAAGTTATAAATGTGGGGAAAAAGAGATGTCGAAGGTGAGACTAACGACCTTGAAATGGAAGGTTGTCATCGATCATCTGTGTGGCTCTGAGGGAATCACAAGGTGCCCACGAGAGAGAGGCACATCACACGTTGAGGTGGGAGCCGTGCTGACAGCAGTCGAAGTTAACATTGGTGAAGAGGGAACACAAAGCAATAATGTGGGCAGGTTTAATGTGGGCAGAGTGGTTATCAACCTGTGCGTCACGGTCACAACCATCAGAAAATTAACTCTGATGAGCCCCAAACCGTAAACTTACTTCCTTTGTTACTTCATAACTGAGATTTCGATACTAAGCAGTGTCTCACTTCCTAAGCCCATCAGAAATACGTTTTTCCAATGGGTCACGACCCACAGGTTGAGAACCGATGTTCTAGGAGCCCTCCTCGGAAGGTTCTTTCACAGTGGCCTCAGAACCAGGAGAGTATAATTATGTGAGTTCATAAACACTGTGGTCATTTGTTACCGCGGTTTGTGCCACGGAGCATTCTGATTAACAGTGGAACACGCATATGACAGCGGTCCCGTAGATTACATTACTCGGTGATATTGCAACTATCAATACTGTCCGTATTTTATGATGTTTGCAGAACGATGAGGTCAGCTGCCTGCCCTCCCTCAGCCTGCTGTCCTGCGGTTAAGCAAAACATGGCTGTATGGGGTTGGGTTTTCATTCTTTAACTTAGTCGGGACTGTAAGTGATGGCTTTGAGGTAAGCTGTCAGCCAGTCTGGTTTTCTTCTTGGAGCTGAGAGTAGAACAAGGGAAAGAAAATGTAGCGTGCTGCTGAATCCGGGGATGGCGAGACCTTCCTGCCCTGGTCATCTAGCCCTGATTTCTTTTCTCTGCTCAACCCTTTGTCTACTTCCTTTCTGTCTGTTCCTCTCCTCAGGAAATCCGACAGCTGCAGCAGAAACAGGCGGGGTTTATCAGGGAGATCTCTGATCTTCAGGAAACGATAGAGTGGAAAGACAAAAAAATAGGGGTAGGAGTCTCAAGTCTTCGCAAAACTGTCCTGGGGTGGGGGTGGGGGGCTGCTCAGCGATCGTGGTTCCTGCAGAAGCTTTGGTTTGGAAGAATGTTTGCATGGATGTGCATGCGACCCTCAGGTGACACAGCCTGAATAGCATGGCGACTACCCCAGCTTACCTGGGTAGATGGAACCATCTCTGGGTAGTTGGAGCTGTCTCCCTCTTCCTGCTACATCAGAGGGGCCTAGGTACAACTCGGGCCATTCAGGGAGAAAGAAAGGTTCTGGGCAGCTCGACCTGGAAGATCAAACTCCAGAGTTCCCTTGGGGTTTTATGATGTGATGGGGGGCAGCATGCCATACTCCACGGGTTCCCATTTTGAGACCTCCACAGGGAGGCCTCCTCAGACCCCTCTCCCTCCTCAGCAGAGAGGAGGAGACAACCCATCCCCATTTAGGAGTGGTAAATAGGAAGAGTGGGCCCCACCAAGTCACTGCTGACTCAGAGCAGCCTGCGATACCTAAAAAATAGCGGCTTATGTGCCTGGGCCCTAAGACAGGCCTAGAGGTGATCTTCCTCGTCACAGAAATGTTCATGATATGAAGCCACACCAGTCTCCTTCAGCACACTCATGAGCCTTAGCTAAGAGACCATGTGCTCATGTGCTGTGCACACATGCGTGTGCAAGCATGCTCTCCCAGAACATTTTTTGAACAACAGATGCTCACAACCAGTGTCTAAAAATAACCTAGGGAGATGGTTGCTAGTAAAGTGTGAGCAAAAGAACCTGAATTTAGTCACCAGACCAGACGTGGTGACACACATTTGTGACCCTGGCGCTGGTGAGGTGGAGATTAGGGACATTCCTAAGGCTCGCTGCCCAGCCAGCCTAGCCTAATCAGGGGGACTCCAGGCCAGTGAAAGACTCGGTTTCTAAATTTAAAAAAAAAAAAAAAGACAAAGAGGATGGCAATTGAGGAATGATACCTGACATTGTCCTCTGAATTATACACAGAAACACACGGAGACAGACACGCACACATGTGAACAGGAACATAAACACAGGCATGTCTAACATTATAAAGTGGGGTTCTTTAGCAGCGTTTCTTGTTCTGCATTTATCTCTTGTTTAAAGGATGGTGTGACACCTGTTCACGCTCCAGTACCATGTCGTGAGATAAAAACAGACCTAGTGCCAGGCAGTGGTAATGCACCCCTTTAATCCCAGCACCATAGAGGCACGTTCCAGGCCAGCCCGGGACACACAGTAAGACCCTATCTCAAAAAAGCAAACATCACCCACCCCAAATGAAGAAAAGAAAGCTGAGCTAATGGTGGGGTCTCCTGGGGTTGTGACTCCTCCCATATGTGAGGCCCCTGGTTCAGCCCCCAGTCTGCAATGAGAAAACAAAAGAGCAGTGGATGGCGTAAAGCAGCCTGCTCCACAGCATCTCTTGCTCTGAAATGCTAGTGTGTGAACAGTAGCTGGTTTACGCTGGCCTAAACCCAACAGCATCCTTTCCCACTGGTACCCTGGATGGCAGTGCGTCCTTGTCCTTACTTCTTGCTTATCCTGCGATCTGTGCTAATCTCGCCCTCTTTCTGTATCTCCCTCTCCCTCTCCCCGTCTCTCCTCTCTGCTCTGCTGCACACTCAGGCGTTAGAAAGACAGAAAGAGTTCTTTGATTCCATACGGAGTGAACGCGATGACCTTAGAGAAGAAACAGTCAAGCTGAAAGAGGAGTTAAAGGTACGAAGCCACAGTTCAGTTTAAGAAAAGTACCAAGGTTGCTGGGCAGTGCTGGTGCACACCTTTAATCCCAGCACTCAGGAGTTAGAGGTAGGTGGATCTCTATGAGTTCGAGGCCAGCCTGGTCTATAGATCTAGTTCCAGGGCAGCAAGAGTTACACAGAGAGGTCCTGTATTGGGGAAAGGAAGGAAGGATGGACCAAGGTGACAATTTCAAGGTCTGTGGGTCTGTGACCATGGGTGCTGTCTGCTTTTGTCACTGTGTTCGAACCTTCAATGAACTATCCCCACAAAGCAGTTGATTTCAGTGCCCATCCGTGCCTCTGCCCGGGACCCTCAGGTGCTTACAAGCAAACCAGATCTGGAAAGTAGCTCAGATTTCTAGCTCTGAGTTTGGCATTATCTAAGGATTTTCTTACCCTCATTGAAATGTATGTGCCTCTTGTCCAAGGACTTCCTTAGCTGAACAGTATCTGGGATACGTGGCGGGATCACACTAGCCCACCAGATCACAGGAAGGACGAGCTTCACTTTTTGTAAGGACCATGCCAAGGGGAAAGCAGCCTTTTAAAAAGTAGCTTGTTATCAGAAAATAGAGTGTATATATTGCCGAGGTTCTCAATCTGTGGGTTGTGACCGCCCACAGCAGGGGTCACATATCAGATATCCACACTCTGATTCATCACAGCGGCAACATTACAATTATGAAGTAGCAATGAAATAATTTTATGGTTGGGGGTCATCACAACATAAGGAACCGTATTAAAGGGTCGCAGCATTAGGAAGGTTGAGAACCACTGGCATTTTGGAACATACGAGGAGGAAGGAAGCCATTGTAGATCTGCCTCGGTTGGTAGACTGTGGGTGTGTACCTAGACACTTCTCCATCCCTGTAGAGTTAGCATCGACATCATTTTAGAGTGAATAAAATATAGTTTAACCTGGTCTCACCGAGTATTATGCTGAACCTGTTTTGCTCCCAGAAACATGGAATAATCCTAAACTCAGAAATCGCCACCAACGGAGAGACTTCAGACTCACTAAATGATGTTGGGTACCAAGGCCCTACGAAGATGTCAAAAGAAGAACTGACTGCCCTCAAGTCAGCCGGGGAGGGGACACTAGGTAAGAGCTCTTCGTTGTTTGGTCAGCATCGATTCACCTTTGTGCACTATGAGAATCAAACGATTGTCACCGATTGTTAACAGTCACGCGGCATGCCATTCATTCTGTCACTTCATAGTGGTGTCCTGGCCAAACCATGTGATCACCCACAGTGCTGTGTAGCATGCGTTTTGTCTAGCGCTTTCCACTGATGGCTCAAGGACACGTTTCTGTTCTGCTTCTCGAGGCTGAGTAGAAAGAGACAGGCTGAAAGTCAAGGGATCGTGTTGAGAGTTTGGTTTGGCTTCTCTCTGGATGTGGTCCAGGGACGACTGTCAACTTCATCCGGTCATGGAGTTGTTCAGGGGTCAGAAGAGTGGAGGCTGTGAGGTGGGTTAGCTGGTCGTGGTTTCCTACCAGCCTGGCACACTTGGACACCCACCACACAAGCGTTTGGAGAGGGTGTGAGGTGCCTGGTTGGGACAGACGACACCTGGGGAAGGCAGCCCTGACTGACGTTGCTGTTCCCACCCCGAAAATGAAAGGCATCCTTGGTACTGGGAGTGGGCCTGGCTGGAAGTGGGGTGTGCTCCCAGGAATTGGGATCCACACCTTACTATGAAGGGTCTTCCTCTGTATGCCACCGTGTTAGCTTCTTTAAGAATATGCAGCTGGAAAATCTAATGGGTATGGGAATATTTTCTATAACTTTCAGAGACAGAAAGATTTACAAATTAATGAGTCAAATTCTGGCTTTGGGGTAAATCCAGTTGCTAGGTTTTTACAAGGTGGGAGTCTGTGACCATGTACATTTATGCCCACGTAGAGTCCTGTAGGCCCTGGCTTCTCAGACTGCTTCCCAGGAGCTGCCCCATCCCTCGTGAGCAAAGCCATGTGCTCTCATCAGTGTGGAAGCTGCTAAAAGAGGATTCCATAGTTTGCACTGTGCCTCCAGGGCGGCCCCACTGGGGACGGGTCCTCTTGTCTCCATGCACAGTTGACACATCCCTGATAATCATGTGACATGGCAGAGAGAAGAAGAAATGCCACTTTTGTCAGTGGCCCCAAAGGGTTTTGGATGCAGTTTCTATCTAATCAGTGAAACACCGTGGGTTTATTTTAAATTCACCTACGTCTGACGTTTCTTTAACATGAAGTGCATATCACTAGACATATGCAATCGTAGAAAATCTTTAAAGGTGAAGTTAAGTTGCCTCTAAATAAAAGCCAGATATTTCCCACCATTTTCCTGGAGTTCTTAGATTGACAAGCTTTCACTTCCAATAATATCCAATAGACTGGGGATTAATTGACCAATTAATATGGTTTTTGATGGATGGGTTAAGTGTTCACAGTGATCTTCAGCTTTGCCTTTGGTTGGGGTTCTTTACCACTCCCCTGGGGATGAATGGAAGGTCCGATGTGTCTCAGAGGAGAGCATTTTCCAGAGGAGACAATGCTGGAGAGTGGGGTGTAGGTTGATTTCCACCTTGTAGGGTTTACTCAAGAAGCGTCTTCCTTGAGACTGACTTTCCAGCCAGTCTCTAAAAGTGGATGTTATTTGAGGAAACATGAAGGCTACTGTTAGGGCTATGAGAGCCATGGGACTTGAGTGGCCCGGTGTGTGAGTGTTGCGATGTGTGTCTAGAGATAGGAGTTAGGAGTCCAGAAGGAGGACCTGGCGTCCACGCTGAAAACCTTCGTGTGGCTGCCTGCCTGACCCACAGCTCTCTTCATCAGTTAAATCATAACCTCACCATTGAAAGTCAGTTCCTACCAGATGGTAGCAACCACTCTCGGCTTGGAGGTGGTGGCAGGGGCCCTTCGCTTATCAAAAACAAGCTAATGCAATTGCTGCTTTGGCACCTAGGCCTGATAAAGGCTTGTTTACAGTAATTCTCTCTATCTCCCTCTCTCTCCCTCTCTCTCTCTCTCTCTCTCTCTCTCTCTCTCTCTCTCTCTCTCAGAAAACTGGGTGGTAATTGGAACATGTGTTTGCATTTTTAATATATATTAAGTGCCCATCACATCACGGGGTCCCCTCAATTCTCTCAATGGTCTTTTAGGAAAAGCCAAAGAAGTGGAGGTGAAAAAGGAAATTGTGGAGAATGTGGGGAAAGGAGGAGCCTTACAGAATACTGAACAAGAACAGCCCAGACCCAGCCCAGTAAAGGATTGTGTGGACAAAGGGGTGTCACATCCCCGTGAGAAGGCTGAGGACCAGAAACCTGCTGAAGACAGTGCTCTGTCTCCACGACCGCTAGCAGGGACCAGTTGTGAGCAACAGGTTCAGAGCCAAGCTCAGGAGAACACTTCTCTCCTCAAAACCCCAGAGCAGATTGAGTCGCATGAGGTCACAGACAAGCCAGATGGTAGGACCAGAAACTGCTTGGAACAGTCCAACTGCCTGGGAGGTCTAGACAGTGAAGAGTCAGGGCCCGTTGCCTTGGGTACCAGTGCTCAAAGTGAAAACTCTATAGGTGATCAGGAGGAAGAGAATCAAGAGGATGTGAACACAGATCTGGAGACAGTTAGTTCCGAACCATGTCCACACAGAGCTGACAAGGTGAGCTGTGCGAACTCAAGGGGCACAGGTGACAATCACATGGAGAGTGAGATAGAGGCAGGAGGAGCTGCAGTTGGGGAACAAGCAGATGCCGCAGCCTCCGGTCCTTTGGAGCACAGCCAAGACACAGCAAGTCATGATAGAAGCTACATGAATGACGGGACGGAGCAGAGCTCAGAGAGAGAACTCAGCCAAGAAGTAGCTGAGCCTGAGGAGGCCCTCATTCGGAGCCCAGAGGCAAGTGGGGGAAACCCTGTAACAAGGGCTGGAGACGCAGAAATAAGGGACGAGAACCCCGTCCAGGCAGAAGTCCAGGCCACCCCTGGGACTCCCACAGTGCAGAGCGGCCATCAGGATGCAACAGGCCCAGGTAGCACAGATGCCAAGCATGCTCCCCTTGATGCGAAAGAACCCGACAAAGGAAAGAGTGAGCAGCAGGCGGAGGCCTTGGATTCACCGCAGAAGAAGTCGAAGAACAAGAAGAAGAAAAACAAGAAGAAGAAATCTCCAGCCCAAGCGGAACCCCGCAAAGACGCCAGCCAAGAGTTAAACTGTCAGAACACAGAAGCGGGTGACCTGGAGGAAGAAGAACAGACTCAGTTCCCTGACGAAAAGCAGGCAGCAGAAACCCAGAGAGAAGAGACAGAAAGCCCAGAACAAAAAATCACAGCGGGAAGCAGTGAACTTGTTGATTGCCCAGAATATCCGAAAACTGAGTTTAATGGAAAACAGAACCAAGAGGAAGAAGATGGTGTAAAAACCCAGGCAGGGAAGGCAGCGGCAGCCGAAGACAGGTTGATGTCTGAGGCAGATGCAGCATCCGCGGCGGATGCAGCGCAGTCGTCAGGCACCAGTGCTGAGGGTGAGGAAATTGGAGAACACGTTACAGATGGTTCCACTGGTGGTCCCACAAATGTCTTGGACCAGAACGGTCCCCAGTGCGAAGAAGGGGACATCTCCCTGATGGAAAAGAAAGATTCCCCAAAGGATGCTTACGATGCTTCTCAGAGAGGAAGTGAAGAGGGACATGTACTGTCCCAACATCCAGACCAGACGGTTGAGAAGGCTGGAGATGGCTGCAGCGTAGACAACAGGGACCTGTCAGGGGAGCTGGGCGGCGTCAATTCAGAAAGTGGAGTGCAGGCAAGAGGGGAGGTTGAGAAAAGCAAGAATAAGGAGGATTGCACCATGTCCTGAGGGGACAGAGGGCGGAGGCAGGCGGGGGAGACCGAGTTTCAGAGAGGGCCAAGGACTCAACACACTAAGCCCAACCTTGGGAGATGCATCCTTCAACTCCACTGTCGAGGTTCACAAATGTTCCAGTCTCTGTGGATGGACCACGTGTCAGTCAGTCACCAAGTATCAACTACTTTAAGTTATAGACTGTTACTTGTAGATTTGTATTCAACCCTTGATCACCTAGACACCAGCCGTTGTTTCCAGTTTCAGTTCTAGCTGAGAACATTCCATTATCATCAGGCAACACCATGTCCCTGTCATGTCCGCATTCCAGCCTTAAGGCCAAGACTTCACCATTTGCTCTAGGCCGAGACAAGATGTGGATGTGCTTGACCAAATGTATCAGTGTCTAGTTGAAGTGACCAAACAGCATTCTTAGATTTCTGCGTTGTGAGACGTGAACGGTCAAATTAATGTGTTTTATTAAAATAGAGGTATTCTCATATTTGATCTTAATATGTACATCATAACCTGTATGATATATATTTAAAGGAGTTAGATGGATAAGTGGCATACAGGTCACTGCGTGGGAGGAGCTGCACCTCAGGGTAGAGATCAGTCACTGTCGGGGTTCTAACAGGTATCAGGAACCACAGGGAGACCACGTGCCTTTACCTCACGGAAGTGCTGTATTTTGCACCAAAGCTTATGGATCTTATTGCCGATGGTACCCCGGTTAATTTTACCAGAGATCTTTATTTCGCTTCGCACGGGTGATCTGCTAGATTCATTTTATACAAATATTTTATTTTTATTCCTTTCTATTAATGACAAGTTGAAATTATATTTCCCACTTCAGTTATCATCTTTTTAACTTTAATATTGATTTTCCTATCTGAATGTCTACTTATGATTAAAGGAAATTACGAAAAGTTGTCTGTTCTTATGCAAAGGACTCATTAGATTATAATCCAATATTTTTGTGTTTGGTATAAATATTTTTATTTGTTGTTTCTCAATATTTTCTTATTGGAAAGTTATTATTTTACCTGCCTGAAGAAATATGTATTTTCTATATAAAGAAGCATTTACAGAATGATCGTAAAGCTGAATTAAAAAGTAATGGTAGATATAAAATCACAAGGGCATGTACTGTATGGTTGCTGTTGACATGTTATGGAATCGTGTCAATTCATACTACTGTTACATGGAAAAGTGGAACGCAAAAAGACCAAAACCTCAGTAAGATCTGAGACAAACTGAAGTGTCATATGATTAAAATAAAAGCATTTTATAATTCTACAAGCCTGTGGTTCTGGTCTTTGAGCCCCTTGACCTCTGACCCTGGTAGCTGTTTGCACAGTGCCCAGAGGAAGTCACTTCTGGCTTAGAAGGAGCAGTTCTCAGTGTCTTCATGGTTGACAAGTGTACCCCATGTTGAGGCTGCCCTGGCACTGGTGTGGGAGCCCAGAGAAGAGGGCAGCCCCAGAGTCCGCCTGCTGTACTCTGTGGACACATCCATGTGCCCTCCCTCCCCCGATTAGGGAAAGCCTCCATTTGCTCTGCTAAAACGTGCCGGTGCGTAGGGTCGTTTGTGGAAGAGGGTAAAAGTGGTGAGAAAACGTTGATCGTGTGTGCGCACGTGTCCTGAGAAACGGGACAGGTGAACTGCTGCATGCTCTCATCCTGAACCATGAAGGTAAAACAGGAATCAGGCTACAGGCTGTACCCAGGGCTCGGCCGGGCCAGAAGGCTTCGGTCAAGCCTCCCATACTTCAGTTCAAATGTCTGCTCTCACTCAGACCCTGAAAGGTTACTTCTAGGAGTTAGAAGAAGGCTTGAGGTTCTTGATTTCTGCTAGTTGGTCCCTGCCTAGGAGGCCACACTGTGTGGCTTGCCACACACAGTCTCTATGCCAAGGGGCACGTGGTAAAACGTATTCCTGGTGACCAGACTCTGAAAGACAGTGCTGGAGCGGTGTGGTAGTCATACTTAGAACACTGTTTTCTGGGAAGAAGAGGCATTTTATTCACCCCCTTTGCCACCTCCACTGCTCCCTTTACACACTTCTTGTCCCTTTACACGTTTCTTGGCTATAATGGCCAATGACTGAAAGAGGTTCGTCCCCTGCCCTGGCAACCCCCTTGGATGCTATAACCAGAAGGGAGACACAGTGGAACAGCCATCTTTTAGCCTCTAAAAGCTGACATGGTTAGGTTCGGTCAGAACTGGTATCAGAAGGGGGCTTAAGGAAGGGAACAGCCAGTGCATTTTGTGCCCATCCCCTATCATTTGAGGGGGCAGGCACATTTAAGCATACAGAAAGGAGACAAACTCTCCTGGGCAGCGGGGAGGGGTGTAATGGTTGAAAGTACCCCACACAGTGCAAAAATACACACTGCAGGCATTTATCGTGAACAAACCTCCAGACCTGGGAAGGCTTCCTCTTGCCTACTGAAGATGTGAGTCCCACCTTCTGGAGTTAATGGGGTTGAATGGCCTTGTATGACCCTAGGATGGAGTTGCTAAGGTACCCAGACCTCAGGATGACAAAGAAACCAGGAACTTGGAGAATTCCAGCACTTGTTTGGCTACCTCAGGAATTTTCTAGAAGTTACTAGCTCTGTTTCCCATTTTCTGAGTCTCAAAACTGTAGGGCAGAAAAATTGCAAAAAAAAAAAAAAACCCACCAGATTTTAAAAAGTCCTTCAATGATACAAAGATAACTTTACTAACCAGCCAACTAATTTAAAATGAGTACAAAAGAAAGATCCTGAGTTCTTTTGTTCTGATGCCTCATTTCTGGAAATTACATTTGCTATCGTTAGTGGGTAGTTTGTGCGCCTGTTTTGGCATCGAGTGTTCCAGATTGGTGAGCCTGCTGTAACCCGGTCAACAGAGGGGAATTCGGCACAGGGCAGGCAGTGTTTCCCGCTCTCAGCAGCAAGTTAGATAGGTCCACTCTGCTCTGTCTACACCAAACACTTTCACTTTCCCTTTTTATCTTTTCTTTAAGGGTCTCATTTTATATTCCAGACTGACTTTGAACTCACTGTGTAGCCCAGGCTGGCCTCCAACTCAGCGACCCTCCTGCCTTAGCTTCCTAGAGCTGGCGGTACAGGCATGACCCGCACTGCCTGACTCCTGCTTTCCCATACTCTTGACTCTTTTGGTTTTCCTCTCCGATTCTTCTTTCCATTCTCTGAGTGTCCCTTTCTTATATTCTCTTCCGTAAAACTGAAGTTCAGGCCACCAGCATTGGTTCTCACAACCTCTGTCGTTACATTTTACCATTTCTTTTTTGCTGCACTTTTCTAGGTTATTTGAAGTCAAGAAGTCAAGAGGGAAAAAAAATAATGTTGTACAATTGATAGATGAGCTGTAATATTGTTTTATGATATAATCCATGCTCGTCACAACTATAGTTTTGTTTTGTTTTGTTTTGTTTAATGAGACTGAAATCCATAAGGGAAGATTGCTTCACTGTTGGGTAGACTTTGGAAAAGAAAGAATAAAACACCTAACAGAAGCCACTGGGCTGTAAGTTAAAGTAGAACACCAAAGGGTCAGAAAACTGCATTAATTCTTGACATTTTGGGTGTAAACCTAGTCTTTAACAGGTGAACCATCTCTCGGAAAACTGTATTATTATTGAGATTTTCTGTCAACTTTTATTTTGCTGTATTGTGCCTCTCCAGGTAACATCTTAAGAGTGTTTTGAAAGATAGTTAGCAAATGCCGATCACTTGGATTAGGATGGACCGAATGATAGTAGAACAAAGATGATTTTTATGTGCGTGGGTTTTCACAGGTGGCTCATCAAAGTGAACTAGTCACTCTCTGGAGAATTCTGAAGGAGGCCGTGTGAGAACGGGAGCAGGCTGGAATGAGAGGTCTAGGCCAGGTTTTAAGGATTCCACTGAGAGGTTTCCGTCTAGATCTGAAAAGCCCGTGGAAAGCAGTGATCAGTGACACCCCAAGCTGGGTTGTGAGCCCTTAGGAGTCACCTAACCATCACACTGGGCCTCCCCTACATCTGAAAGAGGAAAATACAAGCCCATGGGGACCTTGGGCTTCGACCAGCTTCTAGCAGATAAATTGTTGGATCCGCACCTGCATCCAGCATCTCTACCAGTACCCAGAATCCTGATTTTTGCCGTTAAATGTGAAAATTCTTGCTCAGCCTCAGTTCTCCCTGTAGACCAGAGATTATATAGTTCTTGCCTAGAAAGACTTGGGGAACTGACTGACAGACAGACAGACACATATACATACACACTTCCAGAATGGAAAGAATGAAGAATTACAGGGGCCAAAGCCGGTGCTGTGCTTTTCTTCAAAAAAGTCGCAGCATATTGTAACTGGCTCAGTGAACAGGTTGTCCTTGGGTTTGTGCTTTGTAAACAGAGTTAAAACTCTGACCTCGGTGAGTCTGTGCTAGAAGTGAGAAAACTAACTAGATGTGGAGTGTAAACCTGGAGAGAGCCCTTCTTGAAACTTCGGGGCTCGTGAACGGCAACATTGCACATTGCTAAACCGTGAAGCCTGTGAGCTCTTGTGTTGCAGCGTGTCTCCCTAGCGTTCTTGCATGCTAGCCTAAGTAGAAGATTTAGCCTGTTTGCATGAGCCGGAGGCTGTCCTGATGAGAAGCATGTCGGGAGGCTGGCACCACCCCTTGGCTGAGCTCCTCCCCATCCTGTCTGTGGCCTCATTCATCGTGGTACGTGTTTAACTGCCTCCATCACTCATCCCACTAACCCATCTACACATTATTCTGTTAGTGACACGCTGGAAGGGCACCATACAGGTTCACCTATGTCTTTCTGCTTTCTTCAGATGTTAGGTTGAAAAAGCTCATCGATGAACGGGAATGCTTGTTGGAGCAGGTAAGCACCTTCCTGTTTTACAACATTTTGAGTAGGGTACCGGAAACCATACACCTCTTCTCAGCCTTCCTTCTCACTCACTCTGGAAACCCCCAAACGTCTATATCTGAGAGCAATACTGGTTTGATGATTTGACCTGAATAGAACATTATTGTCACAAGAGGCTTACTGAGGACTCGAAGCCACAGGACAGCATTTGGATGTTGCAATGAATGGTAGAGATCTGCCGTTGAGAGACAGGAAGTGACCATGCCCTTCCACTTGTCTCCACATGTGGGTTTTGTGCACTCAGAATCAGATGCCCTTTCCAGCAGACGTTTCTTTGAATGACTAATCAAAATAGATTTTAATTGTGATTTTTCTTTATTCTTGACAATTCCATACATGTATGCAAGGAAACAGGGCCATATCTACCTTCAGTTTCCGTCCCTCAACTCCATCCATGTTCTCCCCAACATGTCCCCTCTGAACTTCATGTTCTTCCCGCCCCTACACCTATCATGCACCCTGGCCAGTGAGTGCTCCCTTTATGTGCATGGATATAGACCATCCCTCAGAGCACAGAAAGCCTCGCCGTGGGAGGAGTGTAAAGAAGAATGGTGTGTGTGTCCCGTCCCCCGCCCCGGGCGCGCGGGCCCCGCAACTATCAGGAAGTACCGATAGCTCTTCATTAAGGTGTGGGTGCCTAGAGAGCACATCCCGGTCTGTGCTGCAATTTTGACTCGCTTACTGCTGGGCAGGTAACACAGCTGCCGCCGTGAGGCCGTGAGCGCGACAGCTGTCTCACGTCCAGAAGGCAGCACTTCACGGCACACCTCCCTATTGTCTACCCTCTAGCATTCTTTCTACCTCCTCCCTGAGCTCTGGGGGCGGGATGGAGTTGAAAAGATGTCCCATTTAGGGCTGAGCGCTCAGTGAGTCTCTTATCCTCAGCACTTTGACCAACGAGTCTCCACAATGACTGCTGCTCCGGCACTGACGGTTGCAAAGAGAGACTTCCCTGACCAAGGCTGAAAGCAGCCCAGAGCCATAAGTATAAACACAAGCGCTTAGAAGGCCGTCTGGTTTAAACTGTGGCTTATCTTTGTCCCCTTATCAGACTTCAGGAAATGCCGAAGGGCTGTTTCATCTTTCTTGTCTGCAGGATAGTTAAAAAATATTCCAAAGGACCAGTTCCTCCAGCTTTTTCTCTAACCGCATGCGATTGCTCGCTTTCTGCAGGTCTGTTAGTCTTTCAGAATTAAATTAACATCAAGAGAAAGGGTCTCTGAGGGTCCTGTGCATATTTTAAAACATGTACCCACTGCCAATCCTGTGCCTGCCCCCTCAAAAGCAGCAGGAACCCAAGGTGGTGTTGAAGTGAGGGGAGAGGTTGTGCAGAAAAACAAGGGTTAGGCACCAGAAAGGCCTGCAATC